CCAAGACCTTTAAGTAATAGATCTCGATTTTGATAGAGCGAAATAAATGCTATGCCATAAACTCTTACTTTCATGAATAGTTCAGTACATCATCTTGAAGAAAAAGAAAATATTAAATAACAAATAGACATACCTCCATTTTTGGCTTCTTTGTTGTTTCAGCATCACCGGTCTCCGTTTCCGATCCGCAACGTTTGAAAGACTGTTCATTTCGTATATCACCTCCTTCTTTCTCATTATCATAGAATTCACCCTGATCTTCAGTAGAAGCATCCATCATAGTGTCTGAAATAGATTCTAGAAATCATCGTTTACTACAAAATGTAAATCTTTACACTGTAGAGATGTTTACACTCTTACGGTGTAGCCGGACATCCGGATTTGCATTGTCACGATCAGCTTCTTCGGCATTGAGGCATTTTGCGACAAAAGATTCGTCGCCGACCGGCTGCATTTGCACACTTGGCACATGCGGTAAATGTCGTAAGTTCTCCATCACTCCTTCTCTTAAATATTTTTTTTTTAGTATATAAAGATCAGCCATGCTCAAAATTTGCAGAATTATCTTTCAGAACTTCCAACAAAACATTTTGTTCAAAGCAGTGCAAAACTGTCCCGTAATATTCATCGTTACTTCGAACTTACTGAATTTTCCTCAAAAATTCTGGGGTGTTCTCATTATTAGCATTTGAGGGATCAATGTGAAGTCGATAATGCGGTCCAAAATATTCGAAGTAATCGTTGTATGGAAGATCTATAAAACTACTTCAATCAGTCCACTGTAATGAAACCCACTGCTTCAAGATAGTGGGTTTTAAGAAATCTGGATAACATTTCAAAAACTCCGATAATTAAACACAAATATACCGTCAGAGACTTCCATATCAACGGCAATTGAAGTCTCATAAGTCCAGCATCGAGCCACATTTCTAGGTGTGTAACCACCGCCACCTAACATCATCAGTGGAATATGTCGTTCCCGGAAAAATCGAGCACAAGCACCGTGACCTGAATAGACAGTTCCAATCGAAGTGTATTGTGGGTGAAAAGAAAAAAAAAAAAAATTGTTTCTATTTTACTGAAAAGATAGAAATGCAGGAGAAATGAATGTATAACGAATGAGAGTTTTTAGCTTCAAAAAATATATATGTATATATACATTACCTCTCAAAGTAAGATTGAAGGTGCCTAAGCGATCACCATTCAAAGAATCAGCTCCATTCTGCAGAACTACAGCACATGGTTGGAATGTTTCCATAACTCTTTCCATGACCTGTAACATGTAACATAAGAAACATTAACTCTACATAAGCGAAAAACTAAAAATAGTCACAAATAACTCATCAAATCTATGGCTCTCGAAAACAGAGAAATCAAATTCAAAGCAGTTATGTCTGCCATCATTTTTGTTTGATATAACAACTCTCTGCCCAGTTTATTGGATATTCTGGGGTTGAACAAACAGAAAAGTTTCATTTTATATCCCGAATAGGAAGGTACTATCTTTTGACATGAATGGAGTAAAATTTACCGGAACAAAAATGCTTTGATATGACTCATCAGTGATACCATCTCTCAAAGGTACATTAACTGCATAATATTTTCCTCTTCCAGCACCAATATCTTTCAGTTCTCCTGTTCCCGGGAAAAAATCACCATATTTATGAAAAGAACATGTCATCACCCGATCCGTAGTATAGAAAGCCTCCTCAACACCATCACCATGGTGTACATCAATATCAACGTAAAGCACTCTAAAATGAATTGAGTCTTAAAACAAAATATGCAGTAAATGATCGCTAAAGAGGTTTTGTGTTTTATTCGATAAAAAACGACAGGGACTATTACTGTTAGAAGTAACCACACAACTGTATACTTTTTTCTTATAATTTCTTCATTTCAAATGATTTGTAAATTTCAGTAGTTATATTATAGCAATTTGCAGGATATAAAATAAATTCTGACCAGCATCTTTTTCTGACTAGTAAGCAGTTTTTGCTTCTTCTAGCTAGACCAATAAACCAATAAATATTGTTCAGAAAATACTGAAGCAACATGATAAAATTGAAAAAACCTTGTACAATAGCATTATCAATAATAAATAGAGATAACAGTGTGGATATTATTCCTAATAAAAACACAGCTTTTAAAAATCAAAAAGGGTTACCTCTTGTGATATTTGAGAAGTTCGAGGATACCCAAAACAATATCATTAGTGTAGCAAAAGCCACTGGCCTCACTTTTTTTTGCGTGATGCAAACCTCCCATCCAGTTTATTGCTATGTCGGCTTTCCGTTTGTTCAACTTTACTGCAGCTGCTAAAAAATATTAAGGCAGTGAAGAAAAAGAAAGACTCAATTTGTGAACCTATATACCATCATTAACATTTTTAATTAGCATTGTTTGACATACCTAAAGAACCACCACATGAGAGCTGGCAAAACTCAAATAATCCATCAAAAACTGGACAATCTTCACCGACGTTAACTGAAAAACAACTGCTTTAAAAGAACGAATATTCCCAATACAGTATATATTAACTAAGATTCCAATACTAATTCTAACGACTCCAAAGTTCCCCGTTAGAAAAAGAACTTCGAAGCAACAACACATAAATAAATAGAAAAAAAAAAAAAAAATAATAATATGGCTACTTACATTTCAACATTTGTTTGTTGAACTGTTTCAAATTATCCGGTGTAGCCGTCCGCAAAAACATCATGTATTCATTTGTGTGAAATCGCGTCATCTCTTCGAATGTTGCTGGGAATGGACGCTAAACATGCACTGGTTACAACAATCCAGAAACTCATGTAAGCAAAATTAACTTCATACTTTTAAATCACTTCTAAAACCGATTCTACTAATCTCGCAATTTCAACATCATTATAAGAGAAGTTAAATTTGCATATCTTCTTGATCTTATTAGTAACACTGTCGATATTACTAAAAAAAGGTCAAGCGTACATAAACTTCCAGATTTCTGTAGATACCATAATTGAGCAAGAGATGATGAGTCATTCGAATACGATGAGGCTTCATCACATGACCTTGTCCGTAGTAATAATTCCCAACGTTGGCTACAAAAACATAAATAATTCTATCCCTAAATCATTTTAAAACATTCAAGTATACTCTTCAAATGGAACTTCGAGTGAAATCAAATTATTACATATCATGCAATTACGTAGTGTCTCCACGATAAACTAATACCAGCGTTGAGAGGGATATAAAGCAGATATGCTACTGTTAACAATAAAATTATCAAACAATTACTTTTGCAATACTGCTTTTATCTATCTTCAAAAAAACCTCACATCAGAATGCAATGAGGAATACAAGAGAAACTTCTGCGAATTAGCCTCAAAACCGATTCCTAAATTTTCAAAATACTTGGAAAATTAGAAAATTAAAAGTGGAAAATTAAAAATAAATAAAACGCTTCATACCATCATAGTAATAAGCTACACGACGTTTGCTGTGATCTTGTACTGACATCGGCATAATGTATAATGCAGCAAAAGTGTAAGACAATATCTTTCAGCTCACTAATCTTGTGGTACTTTGTGACCTAAAAACGTCTATTGACAAATGAAGTAAAATGATTGACGTCGCGCACCGAAGAAAAAAAGAGTGAACACTAAATAACCAAACTTGAAACAACCGCCTAAAAACATTTGAGCAAGAGTGACAAATAACATCAGCGCAAATCACATGAATGCGAAAAATGAGGCCATAAGAGTTTTGCACAATGTTTAGTAAATCATTAGAATCATGTCGTGTCGCGCAAAACAGCAAAAACGAAGTAACATGATTGATGAGTATTACTGACGTACACCAGGGCAACATGAAATCTTCATCTTAAGATGATTCTGTGTGGAAGACATTCAGCGTGCAAGATGCAGTATGCAGTGTGCGGGATGCAATCTGAGAGGTAATGATAGGAGGTGTCTTTATGCAGTTAAAATATGTCACTCTTAGCATATTCATACAAAATTTAACAAAGAAAGGTCACTCACTCACCCATACACAATTAAACATACACGCACACACAGACATACACAACCAGACATACACATGCACACAAACATATACGCATACTTGCACAGATACGCGCACGCATGTACACGCATAAACGCACGCAAAGCATGCACGTACACGTGCACATATACATGAGCATATGTACACGTACACGCACGCACGCACACACATGCGTACGTATAAACGGACGCGTGTACACACACACACACGATCGATCACATGTGCCCCTGCAACCTAACCGTCATACCAGTCTCTTTTCTCTGTTCCTCTCCCTGTTCCTTGATCCTCACTATTTCTATTTCTTTGTGTGCCTCATTCTCCCTTCAAATATAAGCTATCCTAGCAAAATAAAGAATAATTGAGCTTCCATCAATCAAATCAGCTAAACTTCACAACCCTCAAATTCCACTCAAACAAAGTAACAGTCACGTCTTTGTTACCCAAAAATTCCTAATTTTACAAGCGGGGATAGGAAATAAAGAAATACAAACTATAATACATTGACTTCCTTGAAAATGACAAATAATCCAATATCGTCACATAACACAGTAATTTATCAATTATTTCGTGGTTCAAACAAGTTTGTTTTAATTAAGACGGAGAAATCATATCTTTCTTAAAATGGGAAGCAGATTACTCCACCCTTGTTACAAGTTCATCTCCTTCCTACAGTTAAACTTACTTTTCTACTAATGAGCTTATTATTTACCTTAGTCACTAATATACCAACAACAGAACTTTTTGACTGTAAGTTAGCTTCAGTCTCATTGCTTTGCCTGCTGCATCATTGCAATTGGATGTGGTAATATTCAGAGTTGAATTTTAACATTAGGAAGGATCCTTCCTTTTGTACATATGGAACGACTTTCATTGCAATAATTTTACTGAGGTAACAATAATTGATATAATTGATAAGCAAGGGAAATACGAAATAATACAACAACAGGTCAGAAGAAGTTTCATGTAAATGACTCAGAGTTATACTTCGCAGCGATACCTGATCGGCCCTCTTGCACAGCAACACTTTCACCAGCGTACCTATCATCAAGTCCTTTCCAAGTTCTTTCAGAAAAGTAATCACCTAAAACATTTCAAAAAAAAGACCTACGTCACTGCAGTTAGAAATAACCCGAAATTAGCAGGTTTTCCACTTTTCTCGTAATTTTTGCTAAGATATCAATTCGAAAAATTCCATACTTACCGGCTGTATAAGCAGATAGGGCGTTACATGAATTTATATCACCGTTTACATTACCTCTGACGCCCGTAATGCGCATTTTACCTGTGATTAAGCTGAAATCCGAACTGATTTCAGCTTCACTGCCTATTTCATCTAAAAACAATAATATAAAAATCGTAATATAAAAACAATAGTATAGAAATATATCACAATACTGCATGCAGCAGTATTGCACACAAAGTCTCCATCAAGTTTACAATAAAAGTACACTGACGATTTAACTAACTGAAACGAAATGACAAGAAATATAAAACGGATATAATCACCTAGCATCACTTTATGTACTTTTAATTCAGAAACTGCAAGGTTATTACCATTCAGGAAATGTCTGAATTCTGCTGTCCATCCATCACCAGCTAACCACCTACATTGAGGATTCAATGCGGCTTCTGCTTCGAAAAGACTCAAAACTGGACGATAAAAGTCAGAGACGTCCAAGATAATGCCATACGGGCAAGATAGAACAATAAATACTTCGATATCATTAGCAAAGTTGGAAAGTTTTGCAACATTGATCTGGAATAATAAACCGTTATAAAATGTTTGACCTAAAGCACACATTAATGCACTTTCAGAAAGAGCACCCGTCCTATTTTACGCATCGATCTGTTTTGAAGTACGGAAAAAGCATGATAATTGCATAAACATAACAGATAATTTCAAATAATTTTTTCGAAACTTAGTTACACCTTGCCGACTGCTAGAGTATAACTCTTTTTCCCTGCAACTTTACATAGTTTCCTGGTCCGTTCAAGAGCTTCTCTATATCCAATCAGATCTAATGTATTAATCACAAGACCAACAGTTTGAGCATTTCGTAATTTTTCGATTAGAAATAATCGTTTTTTTAGGAGCCGAGTAGCTGGAGTTCTGAAACTCGAATATAGTTATTTACTTGATTATTCCATCATTACTGAAACTTGAAACATGAGTAAACAGAAAATCAAAATATCACGATGTCTAGATCAGCTAAACATCAATTTTATCATGTCGATTTCAATAGGAGCTAATTCAACGGAACAGTTTTGAATTTTACTTAAGACTTTTAAAGTACAACTAATTACAATACAAGACAAGAAATGATTTACCTCTCAAATGAGTGCTTTAGCGTGATAGGAGAAAATGTAAAAACATTGATGCAGTTTAAATTAGTCATCAGCCAAAGAGACAACAATGGACTGTTTGTTTCACCGATAAATAAAAGTGTCTTGTTTTGTTTTCCTTTCGGTGACACACGTCCTAAGCAACAATTCATATCTAAAATAAAGTAAGGAATAAAACAGAAAAGCGCTAACAAAAAAATCTGTGATTTTTTAGAACTATTAAAACTATGCAGTATGCAATATGCTCCCATACTTTTCGAAATTGAAATATACCTAGAAAAGTGGAAAAAAAGTGAGGTGACAAAACATACTTGTGGAAGTAGAAGGTTGATTATAATTATAATTATTGGATCGATAGAGAAGTTTGCAGTTGAATAAAGATTCGACACCGGGGACTTTGCTCAACAAGTCAAACAGAGTATCTTAAACAAAATTTTGCATCTTGTGCATTTTTCAAATAAGATGACGTTTGTAACCTTATTAGCAACAATATTTTTTATGTAAACATCATTAGTATGAGAGCAATGTTTCCTTTTTTATTTATTTTCCAAAAAAAAAAAAAAAATCTTTTTCATTACAAGTTCTGTACATCTGATGTTCTCCTCTCCATGCATATGTAGGTGTTTTTATTTCGAAAAATTGAATTTTCCCCAGAAAAATAAATGACTGCTCAGAAAAAAAGTACACTAATTCTAGCAACACAGAAAATTATTTAAACAAACCTGAGCTGCTTGCATAAATTGCATCAAACAAAAGGCAACAGTTTGGTTCAAATTTGTCTTTATATTCATACACAGCTTTCTCTAACTTTCCCCATTCGATACTCATATCACCAAAAACAAATCGAGTAGGAATGCGACTAACGATCTCACTCATACATGAATCACCGTAATGAACGATGCAGTCAGCACCACACTGCTCTGCTGCTATCAAATCTACACAACAGCTGAAGTTTTCATAATGTGTATGATTGATAATGAAAGAAAAATAATAAAATTGTATAAAAAACTGGATAAAAAAGGCTACAAGAAATAATTTTTTCTAGATAAAATCCGAAAAAAAGGAATACCAACTATAAGATTGAATATATTATTTCCACTCAACGGAAGGTTTCCAGTATAGACGTTGCTTAGGGCATTTCTAGAAAACAAATTAGAACACTTTATTTTGCCAACAAAAAAAAGTGTTCTAATCCAATCAATTGTAATAACTCATATTTCTGTCCATTCTGGCTAAGAAATTCTGCTAATCTATTTCCAGATTCTTCACTTATTGCTATTACTTAGATTCTTAAATTTAAAATTTCATTCTTACATTTCTTGAGTAATACATACCTTCGATACGTTGTGTCTGCTAAAATATATGTTTTTGCATTACCGTTGCATTCTTTCTCTAAGACAGTAGCGATTTCAGCAGAGAAAGAAAGGATATAATCGGGGAACTGCAAGGCAACTCTACGGTAACCGTGATTATTAATCCACGATACTGTCGAATCAACGTCGAAAAATATCCTTAACTTAGTACTATCCATTTCCTGAAAATTTGTTTCTCATCATAAGCAATACTTTCTACAAATAACTGATATCATTCGCTCACAAATTTCGTGGTACGGCTTCATTAATACTTGAAATTTTCAATATATCAACCTAGACACTACATATATATATTACTAAGTTTCGAAAGGATATCACCAATAATTTAGTGAAAAATAATCATAGGTGCCGTAGAACACACCTAAACACCTAAATTGATCCTTTCCTATACTTATAATCTAATCATCCAACAAATGAACTCTTTAATCAATTAACAACAGGTTTTCAGATGATATGTTAAGTCATCTAGAATTTACTCTAAATGCTTGTTCTGCCAGAACAGAAACTTCGAATGATTCAAATTAGTAAAAGAAAAAAAAAAAAAAAAACAAATACACTATTCGCAATTACTTTCCAGCATAAAACACCCAAAAATGACATTTATAAACGTGTCATAACGGGACATACTTTTTTCCAGTTAGTTTTTCTAATCTTTCTTTAGTGAACAGAACAAATACTGCTTGGATCTTTTCATTCTTTAAATTCCCATGGAACCTCGCATTATATTCAACTGAACTGAACTCAAAATAAAAGAACTGAACATTTTAATTACGAACCTTGGTTAATTGTTTTAGAATGTGTTCTCCAGAAAGCATACTACTCATCATAAATGATACTGAAGTTCCCGGATCGAAGGATGACATTTCACATTCTCCGTCACAAAAAATAGAACACAATAAGTAATTCCGATTTTCTGATTCTCAAAAATCTTCGATTAAACAGAACAATTCGCGCATCAAAATTGCAATGATAATGAACAATATCTGTTGCGAAAATTAGAAAGTATTCTTTTATCCACTAAACTTTCCTTTGTTTTTTTTTTTTCTTCAATATCACAACAAATTAACAAGGTTAAAAGTAAGCAGCAAAACCAAACTAATTGAACTTAAACACAAGGCAAAATTCAAGTTATAAATCATCTAAAAGTTAAAAGTAAACAACTAATTCAATCAATAAAAGATGGAAAATAAATCGATAAATCAGCTTAATTAGCAGTAAAAAAATGAAAATAAGTGAGTAACGAAAGAAAAGGTAAAAATACTACAAACAATTCAACAAAAATTCCTAGTACTAAAGTATGGGTACGATGTATTACTGTACGATCCATCAAATACCACAAAATGTTGGCATTTTCCAGCGCTCTTTTTTTTTTGCGGAAATTTCAAGTTGTTATCTGTTTTGAAATGTGTGTGGATATCATATCATTAGTTTGAGTGATAATAAGGAGTACATCTGAAGATAGTAAGAATTTAGTTATCAGAAAGAACTGATACGTAGTTGTCAAGGAAAAAAGAATTAAACTGAGTGGTCACTCTTCTCAACGTTTTGTGCAATTTCATTCTGTTACAAGTTAAAATGAATCAATTATTTGTTGAATCACATATCTTCTCTTTCAATGGCATTAGTGTGTCATTTAATGATAAGAACATCGTCTCGCTTTCTTTTTTTATATTCCGAATAATCAGTTGATTTATTTTGCATTTATAGGCTTTTTCTTAAAAGGAAAAAAAAAATTATTCAAGTTAAAACTCTTAAGAAAATAACGTTTATATTGTATTTGGTCTTATCATTTAATGAACATTATACATGCGATCGAATATTAAATCATGATAAATGATTTTAAAATTGTAAAGTTTCTCATTGAGCTATCGTTTATAGGAAAAATATGGCTGATGTTACTATATCGCTTGAACATAGTAATAATCATCGTCGCGACTCTGATCAAGATCACACATATTGTAGCGTAGACGATACTTGTAGCATGCGTCTTACCGACCGGCTTACAATGTTTCGCAGCAAGAGTATTGGTTGCGATGTTGATTTTATCGTTGGAATAGAGCAAAAAGTTAGTTGATAATTTATTTTCTTGGATTCTTCTGAACAAATCTTCCAGATTCACCAAAGTTTAGAATTTCTATTTGTAGGAGAAATTAGCTGTGGATAAACTTATTACAACATCATCAATAAATTCACTATCATAGTACAAGAAAATCCTTTAAGTTGAGCAAAAGTAAGTACGATGAAAGTGGTTTTGCTGATTCGGATTTAGGGTGCTGATAAATTTCTTTCACATTTTATTTTCGCTTTTGTGATCGATTGTTTTACCGAAATTTTTTCATCCATAAATAAATTTATGCCTTTTTGCAGACTATTAAAGCTCACAGACTTGTTCTTGGTTGTGGTTCAGAAGTATTTGAGACGATGTTCTACGGTAAAATGGTACAGCGTAAGTTTTCTCATATATTGTTGTTCCAGGAAAATGTTTCTTTGCTGAACAGTGAAATTAGTTCGTTTTGAAATTTATGCAACTATGCATATAATATTTTGATGTGATAACAATATGAATGATGTTAGCCATACTTGATAATAGTATTTGCTCGTGTATAAATAAATGATAACATTTTCTTATTTTCACCAACTGTCATTTTGAATTTTCAGCACTATTTATAAATTTTTTTCTGTAGAAATGCAAGAGAATAATCCAGCGACGGTTGTAGTTCCAGATGTCACTCCTCATGCTTTTACAACTCTTATTAATTTTCTCTATTCGGATTTGAATATGGATTCTATTAAATTGGACCTTAATAATGTGATGGATATACTCTACGCGGGTAATGGACACTTTTTGATGCATTGATTTCGGCACGTCTTTAGATAAATCACTAGAGCCATTCAGACATAGATGCAAGAGCATTGATGTTATTGAGATGCAACAGTATACTGGGCTTTTTAAAATTGTTCGCGTTATCCTGCTTTATATAATAAGGATTCTATCTATCTGTCATTTGATATTTATGAGATATATATGTATATATTATAAACTTCAAGACACATATGTTTTTGTAATTTTTTTTTCACCACTGTGCTGAAATAGCTACTGTCATATGAAACTTATATATTTCGATACTCTTTTGCAAATCGTGTCACTCCTCTACTTATTTCAGCAAAGAAGTATGATATAAAAACTCTCATTTCGGCTTGCGTTCAATATCTGATGACTTACTTGACTGCTTCGGATGCACTTTGTTTACTTTCACAAGCACGCTTCTTCGACGAAGCGCTTCTGATAAAACACTGTTTAGAGGTGATTGATGAAAACACGGATGAAGCTCTAAAATCCCCAGGTAATATGATTCTCAAGTGAAATGAGAGCGTTTGCTCGTACTATAAGGAAAATTATAAATTTTTCTATTGAGAAACTGAAAATAAAATGGGCTAGGAAGTAGTAAATAATATGTTTAAATAACATAACTTTTTAAAATAGGATGATTTTTTCGGCTTAGCCGTTTCTATGTAATTTTAAGTAACTTCTGTTTCCAATGCTTGTTTCTTATACATTTACTCTTGCAGAAATGTGTTTTTACAGGACTTCGAAGTATTGATCGTGATACACTTGTGGCAGTACTGGAGAGAAGTGAGCTGTATCCGACAAATGAACTTGTTATTTTTAGAGCCGCACTGTCATGGAGTGAAGCGGTTTGTTTGTACCATATTTCTCCGAAAGAAATGTGAACGATGTGCTATTCCTCCAAGAACTGCTTTTTTTAGGAATGTGAACGACGGCAAATGGAAGTAAATCCTTCGAATCAGCGCCAAGTTCTTGGTCCAGTACTTTCACTTATACGATTCCCGTTGATGACAGTTCATGAATTTGGTGAGGCAGGTAAGGTCTTTTTTTTTTCTTTCATATTTGTTTTTGTATTTGTTTACTTGATCTTTGTTTATTCGAAAATCTGGGAGTTGTTAATGTATGACTTTTCTCAGTTTACCACTACGACTCAGTGATCTTAAATCATCTCCTGATCGCTTGCTTACTTGATCTTTGATTGAGGTTAACTCAAATTTAATCTAATTAGGTTGATCTGCTGTACTACTCAGCAGCTGAAAACTTATTTTGCTCGCTGTATTTCAGCTACTTCGTCGTTATTAAGCTATGAGGAAGTTGCCCAAGTATTTCTTCACTTGACAGTTGTTCCGCGTCTACCGGTTCCCTATCCGACAGGTTTCTTATTTACATTTTTTTGGAAAAGTACATTCAGTAATATCTTATGGTTTTGATCATTTTGATCGTAGCCTCCATGTTCATTAAGTATGTATCGGTGTCCAACATATTTTTAAATCTAAGAACGTGTGTCACGTATATATTTTAATCTAAGAAACATATATATTAAAAAAAAATTGGATAACCTGGATTAAAAAAAACTTTACAGACAAACTTGGAAAGGTGTATTATTTGCGGGAGACTGAGGTTCACCTTTCAATCTCTTGTAATTGTTTTATCTGTTGGTATATTGTACTTTTTCAGGTTTACGATGTAACGGATGTTCCCGCCATGTAGTAAAGCGTTTTGCTACTTTATCTGATAAACGCTGTAACAATCGGGAAAGTAAGTTTTGGTAGGTTGAAATTCATTGATTTTATTTCATTCTTTGGCTATTCTGTTAGACTTAAATAAGAATCTTTACTTTCGTATTATTTTCGTCGGTTTTAGTTTCAGGGTAGATCGTCAGATTTTGGTTAGTGGTTTTGGGATATTCGGATTTGCACCAAGAGCAGGAGAGCTTTTATCATCCGTCGATTCATCAGCAGCTCTTGACTGGCAAACTGAAGTAGAAATTGAGGTTAGGGTTGGAGGTTTGCTACTTACATAAATAATATGATCCAATGAAATTCAGTCTTTGTATGCCACATTTGCAAAATATCCCCATATTTCAAAAGGTATAAGTAAACTAAAAGATATTAGTTAGCCACTTTGGTTAGAAATAATCTCTTTCAGCTTAAGGGCAATCATTTACTCTTAGACAATAATTGAAAGATTGAAGGATGCGTGTTGTTATGTTAACAGAGTGTCGAGAAGAGGTAGTTAAGTGTGATAGTGAATTTTCAAACCGCTAATTATTTGTTTTCTTTCACATTTTTTTTTTCTTTTTTGCATTTATTTAATACAGTGTTTAAATGTTTATTAGGTGGGAGGATGATACTTTATATCCAACTTTTATTTTTACAGTTATTCACAGTCAAAATGAGTAATCGCTCACAAAACTCAGAAGATTTAAGTGCGACAGAAACTGTTGTCATTCAGGGAACAATGAATGACGTAAAACCCGTTGTAGCTAGTTTTAGAAAACCGGTACCTGTGCTACCTGATGTTTCTTATACAGCTAGGATGAAGTTTCTGGTTAGTTACCATTGAAATTAAATGAATGAAAGATTATAAACATTCATTACATGATTTTTATGAAGGGATTTTTGTTCATGCCTAAAGGGATTTTTGTTCATGATTTTTATGAACAAGTACATAAATCAATTAAATGCTCCATTTTAACCCAGTTCTATTCAGAAATTAGAGTCTTGTTTTAGGATGAGGCTGTTATACAGACCTATAGTGGCGCAAAAGGCATCGAAGTAGCGACAGTACCACTACCATTTGATGAGAAAATCAACTTTCATTTCGAGAGTAGTTCCAGGGATTCTTATTGTTGTTATAATGATGTTCCTCATTGTGAAGGGCAACTTCCTGAAATACATTTCTTTATTCAGTGGCCTGAAGGGACTCATTAGAATTTACATTTTTTGATACTTCTACTTTTATTATATTTTGATTATTATATTTGTTAGCCGTCGATTTTCATTTAGGAAGGAAAAGTTACACTCTTAAATGCTTTAACTTTTATGTTCATAATATTGTTTTCACAGTAATAATTGAATTAAATAATGGAAATGACTCACTTTTTATTTATCGTATTTGAAATAATGTTAAAAATATAGAAAACATTGTTAGCGCTGATAAACAGTAATAAAAACATGATGTAATGCGAATATCTCTTTTATCAATATTTCCATCACTTTGCGGGAAAGGATGTCTTTGTTAAATTTTTGATAGTCATAAATATTTGATGCTATTTTGTTTAATATTTTATTAAAAATGTGTATGCGCCTTCATGTATACAGTAATTATCAGGAATAAAAATTCTTGTTTTAAATAATTTTTTATTATTTTAATTATTTCACTTTTATGACTAAATCATACCTCTTTGGTATCATGTGCTGTAGTGAAATATCCATTTACTTCATTAATATTAGCTAAAACTGGTGTTATAATGATCACGACAGTATGTTAAATTGAAGCTGGCTGCTTAGTTAAAATTTTTGAGAGATTTTCTTACATTTATTTTTTGTGCTATTGAAGCTTTATTCAATTTTAAGTTAGTTCATTAAGGAATTTCATTGTTGATGTCAAAGTAATGACTGAAGGGAGCAAAAGGAATGAAACATTAGTCAGTACTGCTGCATTACCGTCGATATTTGAACTAATCGCGCAGGACAAACTATCAGTTTCTGTACAACAGGCTGGTCGTCATATTGTGAAGGTGCAATAATTATTCATTTTTTATTATAAAGTATAAAAGGAAGGCTTTTTGTCAAATAGTGAGAATTAATGGAGCTTTTTCTAGTGATATCGAAGCATTGTACATCAGAAGTAAATATTAAGTGATCTTGTCATCACTGCTTTCATTTTTGTTAAAATAGTAAACAATACTGTTTATGAACTTTTGATTATTAATATTCACTTTATGCACTATATAATTTGTTTCACGAAATTTTCATTATTATGGAATGATCGCTTTAAGAAGAAGCAATATATAGTTTATGATTTGCTGTTGAAATGACCATTTAAATCTTATATTAATTAATCAGTGTTGTTGTATATATATATATTTTTTTTTCTTAAATTTTCCTCATATAATTAAGTATAAAATTTGAGCTTATTTATTGAACATTCATTAATTCGAACTAAAATATTTAAAGTACTTATATGAATCCAATCCTTCGCGATATAAACTGTTATGGAAATGGTATGATGAAGTATATGCAGCTACCGACTTGGTTCTTCAAAATTTTTATTTAAAAAGATACGGTTAGTTTTAAAAACGGAGAAAAAAATCAGCACTTAAGTACTTTCAGAATATTATTGGAACTTACATAATTAGGAGGGACAAAATAGGAGAAGCAAGTTGATAATAGAAGTGATTTGTTTGAGGAGAATGTTTAACCTTGGTCTAATTCCAATAATTGAAAATCCTAAACTGTTCTATAAAATCGTAAACCCTAGGAAAATTGACCATAATTTTAATGTTTTTCAGGAGGTTCACTTGCCGAAAATTTTTATGGAATGAAACGGATAATTAATGGTACATGTAGATCAGCCTCAACAGGATTTCCTAAACTATGTTCCTTATTCATGCTTGTAAGTATCCGAGTTACCTGTAAACTATTATCAGACCAGAAGTTGCATTAGCAGTTCATTATAAATTGTAGATGGGAAATATTTAACTGTAAAATAAGCAGAGGAAAAAAGGGAAAAAATATTGCATTTGTTCAAAAACTTGTGAAATTGGACGAAATTTGAAAGGTGGACGGATAAAGACGCTTCAGATGGTATTTTTTCCATTAAATGACAGATGACATCATGGGATACTGGAAAAAGAAGTGGTGACATGAGACAAAAAGTGTTTTACGTATTATCAATGATGGTTCCGGAGCACATCCGTTTTATTGATTTCCATTTCCGTCTCATTTTTTATTTCAATATGCTGTGTTTACGTTCTAGCGCTAAAAAAATTTCTTTATGAATGGACGGTAATGTTTATGACAAAATTTACTGACAGAGCTGAAAGGAGAAGGCCATTTTATTTTTTTATGATTAATTTCTTTGAATTTTTAATATTTCACTGGTCAATATGTATTTTTAGTTTTATATTATTGAATCATTTGAAGTTATTAATCAATCAATGGAAGTTTTTAATTAAATATCAAACAAATGGAGTTTTTATCTTTTTTCTTTGCATTTCAAAATATCGTTGTCTTAAACTCGTCAATTTTTTGGGATAAGAAAAGTGAAAATATTATTTTACAGGTTGGATGGCCATACATTATGGAAAAATTAGAAAAGTTTCATTTGTTATTGTCAATGTATACAGCAGCAAGTAATTCCAGGGCAAGTTTTAGAAATATTTTCACCCGCAACATATTTTTCTGAGTTTTTAAGGATAAAAAAGAAAAGAAAAACTAAAAGGATCCCACTTTTCCTTTTATTATTTATTGAATTGATGAATTGAAAAATATGTTTATCATCTTTTTATCAGACTTGTTTACATGGTACTGGTTAGCTTTTTAGTTCGGGAACAGAAACATGAAGACGAAAATTTTCCCGCAACACTTTTTTCCATCTTTTGCTATTATTAGCTTATTATTAAAAAATTTTTTGTAATTTCTTAATGTTTTTAATTTTATTTAAGAAGAAAATTTAATTTATCTTACTTTTCCAGCAATTTCCCATAATTCATATTCTCGTCAACTACTATCCATGGATCAAAATATTATTCTATACTTTTAGTTTCCTTCTTAAAATCGCTTATATTTTGTCGCTGTGTAATGTACATTCACCGGAACTAAAATTTGCAAATGTGCATTTGGTGAAATTGAGTGAAATGGAGTTAGGTGAAGCTAATAGGAAGTACGTTTATTTTTATTTTGCATATGTATATACATTTTTTTTTTTTGGACAAATTAATTGTCTTAGCTTTACCTTATAAATAGATTAGGCGGAAATAAAACACAGAATAGGATGATGATTTAAGAATCTGCACTCCTCCAGAAGTTTTCATATTGCAGTTACAATATAAATTATACATAAATTTAAACTTACAATAGGAAATAATTAGCATTTCAGAAAGTCTTGGCGACTGCTAGCTATTTTAACTACCATTCTTACTCGTTGCATAACTTTTGGTCTTTACTTCATCCAGTTTCTGGATTTCTATTACAATAGCAATATTGGAGAGAATTTTCGAATGGAACAGAGAGTAAGAAACTGGAAACATCCTTCGGCACCTCACAAGGTATCTTTTCTGCATATCAGTAAAGTTTCTACAGCTTATAAAATTACAATCCATGTATGTAGTAACATTGCTTATCATGTAGTCATATTTCTGAAAATAATAAAAAGACTCGATAATATCAAAATTATGTTTTCGTTTGCATTTATGATGTTTGTGAAAACAATGTATCTATAAAATTCGGTTTTTTAGAAATTACGAGAAAGTTCTGTGTTACTTTTGGAAACGAATAAGTGTCCTCTTTGCTTGCAACAGCGTGTCAATGATACGGTATGTCATGTTTATTTATATCGATAAAAATACCACATGGTGCAAAGTGGTTTTCACTTTTTTCCATACATTTTAACTTTTTCTTCAGTCCTTTTTTGGAGAAAGAGATAGAGAAAAGCACTGAAGCATGCAAATATATAGGAAAATTTGCAGATAAGTTTGATCAGCGTTAATAATTCTAAGATAGTGAAATAATATTAGCCATCAGTTGACTATATCAGAATAATATCTGAATTCAAAGGCAACGAAATTGAAGAAAGTTTCAACTACTCATAAATAATGTGTTGATAATAATGCATTGAAAAACTTTTTACAATAGGCACTTGCTGTTTCTGGTTATGTGTTCTGTTATGGTTGCATATATTCGTACGTGGAACAGGAAATGAAATGTCCAATTACAAATTTGCCAGCGAATGTGGATGATCTGATTAAGATTTTTGTTCCGCCACCATAAATCGATTCATTTTCGTAGTTTTCTTTTTCTTTTTTAAATTAATTGTTATATTATAAATGCTATTTGTGGTATCAAATTTTGTTGGTCAAGAGTATATATATATATATATGTAAGAATATTTGAAGAAATAAAACATGGAGGAATAAATGTTTGTTGAGTTCTGCATTGTTTAAAGTTCAAATCTGTTTTAGCGCATTGAGTGAGAGGACTATTTTAAATCCTCCAATACCAATATAGTTAGAGCTCCAAAATTAAATTTTATGTAGATTTTTACTCCTATTTTTTAAATTAATCCTATAAGAAAAGGTATAGTCCGAAATTTTTGAGTGACTATTGGAAGATGTGATGATATTTTGCTAAAAGTGTTCATACATGACTCGAAAGGTCTTGTGTCTCCGGTGCTTTATCGTAGTTTAATCTCAACCAACTTTTTTCAAATATTCTAAGCTATTCTTGAGAAAAGTGCTAGAATTATTCTATTCAAATTCGTTTTTTTTTCTTTTTCTTTTTTTTTTTTTTTTTTTTTCCTTTATTCTTCATTATTCACTATTTTTGTTAAAAAATTATTGCATTATAAACAAATGTCAGGTTTATCATTTGAAAATCTTCATTAATTTAATTTTAAATATCAAAAAGCAGTGATTAGTTTCATTGATTGTTTTCAAATAAGCATATCTTTATTTTTTTCTGATGATGATTTATTGGATGAATTTTGTTTTCGTGAATCAATGTTTACTGATTGTTGTTCGTTACTGGCAGTTGTTTGAAATTGAGATGGTTCTGTTGTTGATGTTTCGGTTATTGATGATGAGCTAACTAATGATTCAGGTTGATCATTAGCTTTTTCTATTGCTTGCATTTCTTTTTGCATTTTCATAGCATACTCAAACATATTTGCATAATGCTAAAAAAACAAACAAATCAATGCATGGCTCTTTCGAGGAGCTGTAAAATTCAAATTCCCAAAGAAGAAAAAAAAATTGAATAAAAAAGTTTGAAATATTCCAAGAAGATGGAAAAAAGCTAAGAAAATCTATGCAGAAAGTTTTTTTTTTTTTTTTTCAAAAAAAAAGTTTCTTTTTAAAAAACGGTCTGACAAATTCTTCAATAATTGATTCAAAATTCTTTGTCCAACATTTTAAAATTTTTTTGCAAAATTGAACAAACCGAGTCTCGCATAGCATTAAATGCAGCATTTTCTTCACTCGAACGCTTCTTTTTATTTTCATCAACATTTTCCGGAAATTTCACAGTTGGCGCAGGCGTTGGTGGCTCAGGCTATCATAAAAATAGTTGACAACTAATACTTGGTAAATTGGTAGATAGTGATAGTAGATAATAATATTATTATATTAATGAGCTGGTCAATCGATTTATAATTCGAGAATAATTTTTTAAAGGTACACAAAATAAATGTCCCATTGTTCTTGCTCGTGGTTGATATGTTTCCAGTACATTTGATTCATCGAAGAAAGCTTTACGAGCTCTAAAATTTGTTCTATTTTAATCATTTAGTGGATAATAATAATAATAAATAAATATAAATGTCATTATGTTGCTGATCGATAATCATTTAATGTAGTATATGTTTACAGTTTTGCACATAAGCAAAACTGCATGTTACTAAATAAGATGGTTTAAATGTTTGTATAAAAAAATTTTTCAAAATTTTGAATTATCAGTATTTCATAATTGTGAAATTTTAGGAAGAATGAAGTGAACCTGGTTAAAGCACATGAATGTATACTCATCCAAACATATCCGAAAAATGCAATAAATAAAATAAGAAGACTAGCAATTTTGGAAGTACCATTTCTTGTGCACATGATTTGACATAATTGACAAAATGAACCCATTGTTATTAGCACAAGCAAACTAACAAACAATCGTAATCTGGAAAATATCAAATCATTTTTTCATTTCCTTCCAATTAATTGATTAATTATTTTGCATCTATCACTTTTCGTTTTTATTCTTTTTTATTAGCAATTGATTTATTTGTAAAAGAGATCTTTTGAAGGTATTTTTTCTTCTACTAAAAGATTATTTAAGATAGTGGGAAAATTATTGCTTACTTAATTGTTGTCGAGCTTCTAGAGGATGAATCAGTTGAGACATTTCCGCTAGAAGTAGCATGTGGAGGTGAACTCAGCGCACTTTTCACCATTTTTTAACTGACTCTCTGACACAAAAACAAAATGTAATAATGCCGTAACTTCTTCATAATTCATTATAAATGAAATAACAGATTTCGAAATTTGCCTATCTCTGGGTTTGAGTAAATTTGTACTTCATTTGGTCTATACCAATAGTTCCTTGGTAAGAAAGAAAATATTGGAGAAAACGTTCAAATGGGAAAAGCGAAGATAAGAAAATGGACAAGAGTCATGGGGTGACACCTAAAAGAAAACAAATGTGACTTCATGATTTCAAGAATTACCAAAAGTCCGCATTTACTGTGAAGAATGAGAAAAATTCAAAACCTTTAGAAATGTGTGATGAAAATAGGAAAAAGATTTTTATTCATTTTCAAAATTAAGATATGACCTATGTAAACACAAAACAATCACATCAGGGAAATATTAACAGCATACACCGGAATATATATATATAACTAAAATACATTTCGGCAAACAACAACATAACTAAAATACATTCCACAAGAAGATTTTAATTAATTGCACATTGCTGGTTGTTCAGAGAATTCTTTGATATTACTCTACTACCACAAAGGTAATGTTGTTTGCCTTAAATTTTCTACAATCTTTTAACAGCATTTTCTCCCTTCCACTCTATCTTAAATGTTAAGAACCGTAAAGCAAATAAAATGAGCAAAAGTACTGAGATACGAATAAGCAAGGAATATATTTCATTTCAATTGGAAGTCTAAGTAACCATGTAAAGATTGCTGAAGTGTAGATGCCAAGTTATTATACTGCTTCACTAATTCTGTATCCTGAAATTTGAAACATTTATTTTGCATTCGAAAGAAAACATGTAAGCGAATTATTTCTGAATATGGAAATGTACCTCCTTACTACTATAATGTCAGTGATAATAGCAAAAAATGGCAAATTATTTAAAAAAAAAAAAGAAAAGGTTATATGCCTTCTTCAAGTTTTGTTTAACATCAATATCTTAACATACATCAACAAAAGAAAAACAATTTATGAGAAGAAAACTTACAATCTTTTCATGAACATTTTTTGTCATATGCCATTTAACATAATATATCAACTCAGATGATGCAATTTCATATACAAGTTGATTACGATTTTTCATAATAATACTATCTCGAATTGTTGCAGCATATGTAAGAAGCAATTTCCGAAAGTGAGAAAAATAATTCTTCTCAGTAACTTCAACTTCATTCATCTGACGAGCAGTCACCAAGTTCAGTAAAAAGTCCTGCAATAAGAAATATTGACGTTTTGATGAGAACGAATTGAATATGCCATTTGTGAGAGAGAAATTATAGGTCACAAGGAAATCAACAATAATTAATCATAATTAATGCTATCAAAAGAAAGATGTAACTTCGCTTTGTTATACAAGTAACCTCAAGAACAATCAAATAAAGATGTCCTGATATATTAAACAGTTGCAATCAATTATACTTCAACAAATCACTTAATAAATTTTCATTCAAAAAAAGAGGGAAGTGAACTGTTTATTTGCTTAAAGTTAACTCATCTAAAATGTGGCATGAACAATGAAAATTCGTCAATTAAAATAAGGGATGGTCATAGAAATCCAAAAAATAAAAAAATAAAAATAAAATAAAATAGGGAATCGAAAGAACTTCCTGCTAAACTAACATCTTTTTTTAAGATCATCTGCCGAACAATATTTTTATCCGGTGCCCAAAGAGCGCACTTCATCAATAAACCATCTAAAAGTCGTTGATTGCCATATGCACCAAGCAGGATAAATAAAGTGAAATTTTCATCACCCATAGAAAATTCTTCGAAATGGCGAAGAAGATCTTCATAACTGAATAAAAAATATATTTCCGTATAATCAGTACGGTAAAACCTTTGCCAGGGAAATTTATAATTTCATTATTCAAATCCATTTCACAAAAAATCAAAAGTGACTTACAATGGTCCAAATGCATCCAATCCAGCAATAGGCTCTTTTAAAACCAAACATAGAAGTCCTTTACGAGTTTTCGGTTCCAAATAATCATGCAAAAACCGACTCAGACATTGCGAAACATATTCATCCTTGAAAATTTCAGGTCCTGAATAGAAAAATAAAGATGGAAAAATTAATTTTGCAATAACAAAATTACTGAATAAATATGACATAGCAGTTCCAGCATAACAATACTTGTTAACTGATAACATTCACTTTTAATGAAAAATAACTTCTGTATGGTTAACTAAATTTAAAATTCCTGGAAGTTAGGCAGCTTAAAAGGTTTTTTATGATCTTGATTTTCTTTCCTTCGGGAGGGATATTGCAGAAAGTTCAAAAATTTTTATAGGTGTGGCATTTTTTTTTTTTTTTTTTTTCAAACAACAAATGGGAATTAGAACAGAAACAAGGATAAAGGGAAGGAAAAACTAATACTTACATTCTATACAAGTTTTGGAACTTTTTGCAATGGCCCGAAGGGAAGGAAATCAAGACCGTCAAATAATGTGATTCTCTTCAACTATACTTTGACATTAATTTTGATATTTACGGCTAATGATGATATAACTTTTTTTTTTTTTGGCATAATTAGCATTAATGAAATTCAGCAAATTCATCAAATAATCTGAAAATGTAGAATATGCCACAAAAGTTGTAAGAAAACATGATGAAAAATGGATTAGCAACAAAAACAATTGTTTATAAAAATCTTTGCAATAATTATATAATTACCCATAGTGAAAATTTCCGCTAAGCGAACAAAAATTTCATTAGGTGTTGCAAAAGCATAGTATAAAGTAGGTCTTTCCACCATAACTAACAAAGTCCAGAACAGCGACAGTCGCACTATCACGAGATCATGTGCAGTCGATTTTCTAAAAAACTTATTCTTAAGCAAATAGTATTTACCACTGTAGCGTGTTAAGTCCAATCGATTGTTTGATAACATCTAGCTTTTTGACACTTATCACAAAAAATGCTGCATGAAATAATGAAAGAATGGAAAACATAATATATAATTATAAATATGAAAATAAAATATAAATTTAAAAAAAGAAAAAGATAAAGTAAAAAAATATATAATTTTATATGTAGTTTTCAAATAAATTACATTGCTGTTCTAATTATATTAATGCTTTGAACTTCTGAAAGATATTCTGGTGTTTGCTTTACTAAGAGAAAGAATCTTTGAGATGGAATGAATATATACAAACAATTGCGATCAGCATTTATGTTACGTACTAAAGAATTATACTAGATAATAGTACTCTGCTAAAGAATCAATTTCGACATTTCACATCTATGAAGCACAAATACTTTTTTTAACGGATTTTTTGTTCGAAATGAACAAAAAAATCATAATAATAAATAAATTATAGAAAGTCAGTACCCGTCTTTCTGCATAACATCCAGAACTTTACGAATAGGAGACAACATCCATGCTGCCTTTCCGAACGGGTCTATACCGTCAGCGAATTCAACTGATAAATTGCCGTCTTTATCTTTCCTTGAATACAAAATATATTTCATTTGAAAAGAACTGAAAACTCTGAAAACTAAAACGTCGATGTTCATGAACTTACCTTTGCTCCAAATATAGACCTTTGATCGCATTCAAATTGTCTCGAGCCTTCTCCAACAAAACATCATCACCAGCATAATCCCTGCAGTGTTTGATTAGGTCATTAATTAACAAGCAATAAAACTTAAAATACGATTGCGAAACTTTGGAAATTACAGTGGAGTCCATATTCGAACGTGATTTTACTGAAAAAGACTGGAAGATAATTTTCTTTAATTTCAACATACTACCACTCATTTCTATTGAATTTATTCAAGAAAACGGCCAGAGTATTTAAAAACTCTAGATACTTCGGTGGAAATCGCAAATTATCGAACAGCCTGATTAAATTTTGCTGCTGTCGTGGCAATATTGTGCGCATGCATTTCATAGCCATGTCCAATTGTGCTGCATCCTGTAAAAACAATACCGCAAATTCTAATCACAATTTCTTTGCTGTTCAAATGTTATCAAGTTCCACTGCTTGTTAATTTGCAATTAGTTCGGTGGTTTAGAGGATGAAAGCTGGAACTTCAGAAAGTGCTAGTTTAATCTATAGATGGGAACAATTATGCAACCAACCTTAAATAACCCAGAGGAAAGTTTCTCAAGCAATTTCATAATACATTTTGAACACTGGGAAAAAGAATCAATATTTGAGATTAAGAATTTCTCTTTTCTCGAAAAAACTGATATTTGATTACTATTTTTGGTATCACATAACAAATCATACCACAGAACAGCGTAATAATCTTAACAAAGCCTGGAATAGAAAATCTGACAAAATTTACCGCTGCTAATCGCATGTACGAGTCATCCAGTTTATTTGTTGCGTCCTTATAAAATGCTGGATCATTTTGTACTAAATCAAATATTTGTAACTCTTTGATTTGCTTGGTAACTTCCTGATCTGTACTAGCACAAACTGTTGCATCAGCTGGTTTTTTTGTCTGCCGAGGTACTGGAACTAAAACAGCAACATGCAACAAATATTTCTAACAATAAAAATGGGTTGAATGGGTATATAATCAACATTTATCCTCTATACCAACGAAGGAAATAAACATAAAATACAATTAGTTCAAATATTTGTGACATTTCATGCGATTAATTAAGTGAATCACTTCTTTGTGGTTAATAAAAAAAAAGAAAGAAAGAAAAATACACCTCCTATTGAAAAATTCTTTCCAAGTATAAAAAAATAAATAAATATAAGAAAAAAAGCCATTCTTTATAAGAGAAATCAAGATCCATTAATTTATTGCTCTATGAAAGCATACCATAACAAACTGTTTCACTGTACTGTTATCAAAACAAATGTTCTACATAATCCTTAGTTAGCCGAGAAGTATTATTGTCTACAAAGACTGCTTCTGATTCTAGAACCATTACTCTGATTCTAAGAGAAAGTGTTCAGAGAAGAGCATTTTCATATCGAAATACTGATATTAATACTTAAGAATATTTATTCAGGCATAAATTATAAATTAGACATAAAATTATACTTGGTTCAACTTTATTCTCCTTCCACTGTTGTCTCTTTTTTGTTCTGCTTCGCAAGAAGTCCAGTAATTTTGGATCTAAAAACCAAAAATGCACAAATTTTATACCATTTTATTGATATTACTTCATTTTTTTTTCTCATCTGCTGATTTTTTCATTCCATTTTCCTATTTTCTCTAAATATACATTACACCAAAAATTTACCAAAACGTTCCACAATTTCTTGTTTCGCTTTCTCAACCTCTTGTTTACTCATCTTCTCTATTCTTTGCAAGTTTTCGAGCTCAATTTCTCTACTGATGTCGTTGATCGATTTCTCAGAAGCTGAAGATAGAGCTTCAGCTCTATCATAATCTATAACATGAACCAAAATTTTAAAAAAAAAACTGTTTATTATGCTTTCAGAAATTTAAAAAAATGAATAAAAAGTGGCAGAAAACTTCATGTCCACAAAAACTTATTGTAATATATATATATATATATAAAACATCTTACCATCAATACTACCGTGGATCCTATCAAACTCTAGTGCAAAAAAACTTTGGCCACTTGCTGAGAAATTTTTTACAGAGCTATTGAGACCATCATAATACCTGAAAGATAATAAATAATACAGAAATCTTTCTCAACTTTAATGCGCTTACTTGCATTCGATTAAAAAAAAAAAAAAAAAGAACCTATCATGCATGAGTATTAGCTTAAATTCTGAAGAAAAGTATACTAAGAAAACTATCTACCTAGAGAGATCCAAGATATCTGGAAATCCTTCTTCTTCCGCGTATTGAGCACAATTTATTAGATTTGAACAGTCATCTAACTGGTCAATTTTATGGAACAACTCTACATTCCGTTCCTGGAACAAAATTTAAGACTAAAGTAACGAATTAATGATGGAGAATTTAATGGTTCAATCCAGGACCTGAGCTGAAGTCAAAATCCCAACAGCTCTTTCAAAAAGATAAAGTATGACAAATTATGCAGTACCTCATTATTTCGAGAAAACTAACATAAAATAACCTCCACGGCAATGCTATAACTATTAAAAAAACATGAAAAGAGAGAAAAGTATTAAAAGTTTGCATATTTGTCTAACAAAATTCAAGCGTTGCCTGTACAGTAAGTTCCATGATACTTGCTTTCTCTTCATCTAAACAGTCAAGATCGAGACAGAAACGACCAGCTGGTTTGTCAATTTGCCAATTGTTGGCAGCAAATGAATTGTTATTAATATGAACCTGTCCCTTGCATTTTCTATTGAGCATCTGCAACACAATACTTTTTCATTCGTATGACTAATTAAAATTTACAAATTGTGATTTTGAAAAAATAAATAAATGAAATGACTCCCATCCATCTAATTTGCTCTACATATTTTTTATTCTAAATAATATACAAATTCTCGACTAATTTCTTTCCATCAAATTATTAACTGAAAAATAATTCGAACTGACTTCAACTATCCAAAAATCAAATATCATGTCAAGAAATATGAACAAGACGACTTTAGAAGTAATAAATCCTAGTGCTGAATAACACGAATTTCATTACATACTTTTTAATTTCCAAAATTATTACTAATTGAAAGCTTATACAAATACCAACGATTATTTTGCAATTTTAATTAATCAATTTGGTATGAATTACAAGATCTAAAGGTGGTCGTGCATGAATGAATAATGAGGAATACCTCTTTCTGCATTCTGAATAAATCTTCTTCAGTATCATTTGCATTCGGACGTTTCATTCTTATTTTTTCCATCGTTAATGTATCTTTACTGAAAACTGCATAGAATTCAGCAATGCACTGATATTACGATTAATGGTGAGCAGATGTTTGAGAAGGCTAAAAGACTTCAAAAATGAGATAAAAGTAATAAGTTGGATTGAAACAAGAATAATGACCAGTAGAACTGACGTAAAGAAGACTAGTAGGATTTAAGTGAGTGACCGATGGGGTCAACCTGAAAATGACTAGTAGGATTGAAATGAGAGTGACCGATGGGACTAAGGCGAGAGTGACCACTTCAAAAGGCAAAAAAAGACAGGGAGTGGAGTGAGAAATCCATCAGCGAAATTCGACGCAACCAAAAGTATACATTAATGAGAGTAGAAGAGAAAAATGAAAAATGCGAAATAACATGAGACGCTGAGTTGGGAAGACCGATAACAAATACTACATAACGTTTGTCAGAGATTGGGAGAAAAAAGGAGATAGCAATAAATGTTGCTGACGGAGAGAGTAAGAAAACGAACGAAATAACACGCAAGAGTAGTGATGGGAGGGGAATCATAGCGCGTAATGAATGCATTTTGATATTTAATTGTTAAGTGAAATGGTAAAAGAATCGATTAAGGTTGTAAGTTTCGTAGAGATGCATTCATTTTATGGTTTTCCCAGGTATTCGGGAGGTAAGCAGTCATTGAGAGTTCAGTCGAAGGGACGGTGACAAGTTATCGATTAGCCTAACGAGTTTATTCAGTGATAATTTTCAGGAATGGAATAATTATCATAATTCTAAAAATTGTTTCAAGTACTGTATTGTAATTATTATAATTCTGATGTTTTCCAGAAATTTTGAACATTATTAGCATGACTCTAATTAACGAATTATTGGAAAAAGCAGAAAATGCAGTTAGTGGTAAAGATAAATTGTTGATGCGAACAAATTATTCATCACATCCTTCCACTTATTTCTCAAATACATTTGGTAGAGCAGTCATCTTCATTAATGGTATCCAGGATAAACCAGTTCCTATTCAAATTTGCATTGGGTCTGCTGCCGGATGGCAAGTGTTTTTTTTTTTTCTACATATCTATATATATTTAATACTGGTAATTTTTTGTGGTCAAAATGTTAACCATTGCATCATAGATTATCGACTCAGGGGGTAGTTGATAGAAAAGAAGAAAAATATAGGTAATTCTCTTTTATTTGGTGATGCATTTGTGAAATTATTGAAAATTTATTGTTTCGCAGTATTTATTGAACGATTTGTTAGAGTAAAAGAAACGGGAACTTTTCAGTCCCACCAATTCATAATTTCCATAATTCATATGTTTCACTAAAACTTTTTGTTCAAATATAGTATGATTTTTATGTATTATTTAGTAATATTTCAGGATAACAGGATATGTGTTCACGAAGGGAAGCAAAATAGTAGCAGGTGTTATTGGGTGCTCTTTGATTTTACTCCAGGTTTTTCATATTTCTTTTTCTGGTCGATATTTTTTACTTCTTTTAAGGGACATAATCAATCGGTATTTTTTCAAACAAATGCTGAGATTTTACAGTTTTTTTGGGATGGAGTATGATATAATAGGATAGCCATATATATGTCATGTAGCAGCTGCCATAGTTGCACAGTAAACTTCATGATTAATATCTCTCATGCTTAATTCGTACTTTATTTGTTTCAATACCTTCAACATATCTGAAATTCACTTTGATTGTATTGCATTATGTTCATGTAATATCATTGTAACGTGATATTCTGTCTCTAGCGTCACCTCACTCTTTGAAATAGATCTTTTAACCATTTTATTTGTGTTTCTAGAGCCATTCATCACTATCACTAATATTATCACCAGTCAAATGGATCAATCCAGTGAGCGTGCAACAAATTTGATTGCCGCCATAAAACCATATATTCATTATGTTGTACTACCTGTCGGCCTTTACGCTGCTAATCGTTTCTTTCGTTTTCTGATACCTGGGCCACAGCACCGCTCGAAACTTGATCTGCGTGATCGTGCTGTATTAATCACTGGAGCCAGTTCGGGTCTTGGTCGAGAATTAGCGATTTGTTTTTATCGAAGAGGTGCTAAAGTGATTTTAACAGCACGCAGTATTGATAAGCTAAAGGAACTCTGTGAAGAGCTAAAATCATTGCAAGATGTTATCAATAATAATGAACCAGTTTATAAATACCTGGATATTACCGATCCAAATGGCGTTGTAGAACTTGTCTCGTTTGCCATCAATCAGCGGATTGATGTTCTTATTAATAATGCAGGTTTAAGCATGCGTGGAAGTTGCAAAGATACGTCTATGGATGTACATCGGCAGGTTAGCTTTCAGTACATTTAATGTTTCATTTTTTTAATAGAAGATTTCTAAAACTATAGGCAACTAACGGTTGTAGAATAATTCTCCTTTATGAATTGTTGTTTGAAGTAATCAAATTGTTGTTTGAAGTTTTTCTTTCTTTGTTTCAATTCCCAAGTCTTTGTGAATCCTTAGCAAAATATGTTTAAGGTAATGGAAGTTAATTACTTTGGTCACGTTGCAATAACTAAAGCACTGCTTGATTATATTCCGGAAGATGGAGCAATTGTATATATAAGCAGCGTACAAGGTCGCATTGCTGTACCATATCGAAGTTCTTATTCAGCTAGTAAACACGCTGCTCAGGTGCGTTTTCGTTTACACTTTATTTCCATCTTGTACTTTTTGGTTTCGGTTTTGTGTGCTTTTATCATTTTTTCACAAGATTGCTAAACTTTTGTGATAAATATTCGAAAACATCGAACGCTCTGATTTAGGATTACCGATATTTTAATGGGAGCATATTGGAATGCTAATCGAATTGCAGGCTTTCTTCGATTGTTTACGGACTGAAGAACGATTTAAGACGCAGATTCTCGTTGTAAGTGCGACTTATTTGAATACAGGTTTTGGACGTCGCGCGCTTACTACCGAAGGTAAACCGATGGATAAGGATGATCTTAACCAAGCAAATGGGCTCACACCGAGTTATGCGGCTGAATGCATCATAAATGCTCTCATAAATCGAAACACAGAATTGATTCTTGCACCATTAAGCCATCGTTTTGCTATCTTTCTGCGTTGGTTCTGCCCTACCCTTTTCTTTTATATCATGTACCGCAGAGGTCTTAAAGATAAAAGCGTTAAAAATAAGTAATCGTTTGACGTAGGCGTATTAGCGACTCTCGAATTTGATTTGCAAAAATTTTGCGACAATAAGTAGCAAACAATTTTGATTAAGGATTAATTAAAAAGGTTCACATGAACGTAAAAATAAAATATTCCACCTGTTTCACAAGAAATCATTAGTCTATAAAATGTTTTGGATTCCTTAAATAATTTATTAGTCATCTTTTCCGGTTACTTTGAACCTCCGACAAATTTTAAGGAACAAACACTTTTTGTGTATGATTTACATTTAGTTCTTTGTTATTCATTCTCCATAGTTTTTTAATTATCTCTCTTGAGTGAAAGAATGCAATAAAGATGGAACATAGCAGTTTGCAAAATTACTTCCCTTTCCTGGTTGAACTAATTTCACTTTTGCACTTATTCGTTCTGTCTATTCCTTTTACAATCTTGCATCTTTTCGCATATTTTCAACTTTGCTTACAACGATAATTTATTAAACATATAGTAAATAATGTAATCAAATCATTTTCATTACCATTGCAGCATTTTCCAATAAAGTACTGTAGTAATTTCTACGTCTTTACATTGCATTGAATAACAGTTTCGAAATTACATTGTGTTTGCTTGAATGCTTTTTTATGTTCAGTTATTTCTTTGTTATGGAGTTTCTTATGTAATCATCAGAAATTTCCTCGTCAGTAAGTTATTATTTCCTTAGATCTCTGTCTTTCCTAATTGTTTTTTGATTTAACTAGGCAGCTGTTATTTGGCATACTTTAATTTGACGATTTGCATTGATCTTCTAAAAAATGGAAGGAAAACGAAATTAATTTCTTTAGCACTTTCTTAGCACAAAATTTTTCTGGATTGTTATTGCGGACAATTTTAGAACAAGAAAGAAAGAAAAGGTAATTCCGCAACAGTTTCTTTTATTCAGAACTGATTAAGGTTTCTTTATTAGTTTAACTGGGAGTTTACATGCTTGACAGATTGATAACTGATATCCAGTTAATTGACCACTTGGTTTAAATAGAAACATTATTAATCGGGAATGGTAAATTTCAGTTTTGTAATTCTCGAGGATATATCAAAATCAATCAGTCAAAACTGCGACGTGATATTGAACGGCTGCGTAAAGATATTACGCGAGTAACGAGCAATAGAAGCAGTGTGGCAGAGGGCGAAGTGAGTTTTTCTTCTTTTTTTTAAATAAATTTTACGAATTTATTAAGCTAAAACAATGTTGTCTTAATTTTACTGAGATTTAACTATATGGCACACTTTTAAAAAAATGACAGGAATTCGTTTTTTTAAAGTGCTGCCTACTCTTGACAGTAATTTAACCTCAAGTACATCAAACTTATTCATTTAGGACTTTCTACATTTGGATCAAACTAAGTTCTGTTAATAGCAACTGTCTCTCTTAATGGATAAACTTAACCCATTCATTTTTCTTTTTGAATTCTTTTTTGCAGGTAAATGATTTTCTGCGAAACAACGCATATTTATTGGGTAGTTATGGTGCTGGATTTTTGTTAGGATATACATTTGCATGAATGTAGCTACGTTGATTACTGCTAAAATTTTGCTCCTCCAAAAAAGATAATCTTAGAGTTAAAAAGGGCGATCGATTATCCAAAATTTAATCAGATCTATATGATTATTTAAAAAGGGTAATCTTATGGAATACATTTGTACTTTGTTTTAAACCTTATCTAAAATTAATGCTAAAATTACTTACTAAAATTGGTGCTAAAATTAAAAGCTCAATTTACTCATTAAGTAAATTGAGAAGCTTTTAATTCATTATTTTACTCTTCATTGCTTTTAATTTCACTTGTCCCTTATGTAATATCTCTTCCCCATTTTTTTCTCCTACAGTTGGAGATACATTTGTTACAAAGAAGTATATTTTCATAAACTGACTATTATTCTATGTTACATCATGAATATAACCATGAGACATTATCTAAATTCGCTGCTTTAAGCATTAAGTGTTAATACTTTGCTTCTTAAAGTATCATTTCTTGCAATTCTGTGTACATAATTATGCAGTTAATATCTTTATTTTATAAATAAATTACAATATGGCAATTTTCTCAATTATTTCTTGCTCTTCACATTATCAGTCCAGAAGTGAAGTATAATTATTCACTAATTGTTTAACAATAACCGCAAGTTTTTTCACAGTATCGTTGAGCAAATCTTGGATACTTATAGCAATCTTCCTTCTCACAATATTGATTTTCATCACTACATGGGCCTGAAGGAAATTAGATTTCATTATACATATAACATAGAAAAGTTTTGAAATTATTGGAAATACAAAAGTTCAACAATTATAATCTCAATTTCAAGTATTTTTCCTACCTCAAACATTTTATCTCTTGACCAAAAAAGTAACTAACTCCTTTTAGCAAACTTTTTAGTGCTAATATTACTTTCAAAATAATATGTGTACCTGTTCTACCAGGATATCTGCTCCGCTCTCTCTGCGATGTTGGCTGTTGCACATATGTATCAGAAATTGTATCAGTTCGTTTGCCAGTAGATCTATCACTAATTTCGGAAATTGGACGTTGTCCTAGCGTTCTGCCATTTGAGTCAGTTCGTTTACCGATGGATCCATCACCAATTCCTTGGGTAGGACGATGTCCTGACCTTCCATGAATTAGGTCATTTCGCTTGTCGCTGGACTCATAACCAGTTCTGGAAATTGAGTGATGTCCTGATGTCGCTGTTGATTGTATGAAGCTTCTTCTACCGGTATCATCGTCATCACTATCATCGTCATCATCGAGAGTGATTATGCTACCTTCGTTTTCCAAATTATCCGGAGTGGGTTTCAGTTCGGATATCGAGCATTTTTCACCACAAAACCCGCAAGTCTTAGCACATTCTCTACGTGCTTTGCATGGATAATCCAAACATGATTGTTCCGAACAATGGGAATTCTCATCTCTACAATCTTCAGTTGTTGCTGATGGTTTGTTTCCTGAATTTTTTGGAAAAAATTAACACTGACATAGATTTATAATCGAATTAAAATTCATGTCTACGACTAATTGATTTCTGATTTTTTCAATTACAATTCAATTAGAAATGTGAAATTTAGAACATATAATTTAGCAACATTGTTGTATGCATGCATACTAAAAAGATTTAATAAATTAATGAAATACTGGAATTATTTCCTGCAGAAAATGTATGACAATGCTTAATAATATTCATTCTAATGCTACTATTCCCTAGCAATGAAATGGTAATCTTTGTAAAATTGTTAAGTGCAACTTAATGCATTCTAATTCTTAATTTTAAAAGTGAAATCAAATTTATTAGCATTTCACATGTGAAAAAAGACCCCATCAAATTATTTATGACAAACATTTATTAACTATTTTACATCCTAAATCTTCCAAATTTGCAATTGCTGTGTTGAAGCGATTATTGAGAAATGGATAAATAAAAAAAAAGCATAACGAATGAATAAATAAATTAAAAGTATTACTAAGATAGCGGCTATATTTGATTTTTTAATAATATAATTGTGATACGAATGATTCCGCCTTGAAGTAAATAGGGAAAAATTAATTTTTACCTTCTTTTTTTTAGAAAAAAAAGACTGTTATTCAATAGTTAATGAAGAATAAATCTCAAATTTACATATCCAATCTTAAAGATATAACATTGATTGGAAAATAATATCATCAAATTGAATAATTTATTATAAATGATAAAAAAATGAACAAATAAATCGAATTAATTATGCTAATGTCATTTATGATAAAAACTGTTAAAAGGAAGTAAATATTAATTAAGAAAAGTAATTTGCTTTGCTCGAATTGTTCGAATGTTATGCTTAACCAAAATGTGAATTAGATTAAAAGAAAAACTACGAACAAATATAACTATACGCAATTAAAAAAAAGGACTAATATGTGAGATGTAAAAGTAAAAAAATGGATTACGACAATATGACAGTACTATCTGAACAAATAATTACATTTTAGATTAAATAATATGAAATTAGGAAATAAATTTTAGAATGAAATCTTTAAAAACTTAAAACATAATAATAATAATATTAATAAATATATAATAATAAAAAAAACTTAAAAAGGAAATTTAATTATTGATTGCATTATTAAACAATAAAATTTTACTTCCATAAAAGAAAAAAGGAAAAGCCAAATCAAATAAATGTCTAATGAGTTAATGATATGATATGATATGATATGGTAAGTAAAAGAGATATACCTGATAAGGAAGGTGGCAGTGGTGGAATGATTCCTTCATTATCACTACAAAAACCGCATGTTTTGGCGCATTGTTCTTTAGCAGTAAACGGATAATTATGGCATATTTCTTTTTTGCAATTAATATTTTTGTCAAAACACAAATGACCATTTAAGGGAACATTTTCAGCTTCTGTAAAGCCAACAAAAATTTCACATTAAGTAAAAATTGATAATTTTAAATCATTTGTATATATTTTATTTATTAAAAGTTATCATAGCTTAATTTAATTTAATTTAAAAAATTAAAAAAATATCATAATTGTATTTTGAATGTATAATTTTCAAAAAATTTTTCCTTAATAAATAAATAATTATAAAAGGAAAAAAAATTTTTTTTTTTATTTAAACATATAAAATATCACCTCGATTAAGCGGTAATGATGAAATTCCTTTAGATTTACTAATTTCCATAGTTGTATGATTACCTAAATTAGCTATACCTGATGTGCCAGAACATAGGCCACATGTTTTGGCACATCGTTCTTTCGCCGTAAATGGATAATTATGGCAAATTTCTTTGGTACAATCATAATCCTTATCAATGCATAGTGATGATAATTTTCTTTCTGCAAAAAAAAAAAAAAGAAATGTAAATTTTCATTCACAATTTAATTGGATAATTTGAAATATTACTCAAAGTATTATCAGACAAATGCGCCAGCTCTTTTGCAACATGCGAAATTAATTGATACTATTTTAAATAAAAAAAATTTTGATTTAAATTTTTTAAAAAAACAAAAAAAAAGAAATGCATGTATATTTCTTATTTTTATTGAAGAAAATTTTCAATTTGGAAAGCTTATCTTGGTGTATAAATAATATGTAGACAAATTCTTCAATAATAATAACATAAGAATGAATAACACAATTCAACATTTTCTATTCCTAAAAATTAAAAAAAAAAATCTAGTGGTTTTTTTTTTTTTTTTTTTACAATCGTTCTTCTTTTCTTTCTTCATGCATAAATCAATAATGTTTAATACCTTTATCAATGATTGCTGATTGAATCATATCACTTTTCAGTGATGAACTTTGCTGATGTGACGATGAGATCACTGATGACAAATGACCGCTATTTCCTGATAATGAATCATTGCATAAGCCACAAAATTTAGGACATCGTTCTTTAGCTGTGTATGGATAATTTTGACAAATTTCATTTGAACAATCAGAATCCTTATCATAGCATACATCTGATTTGCTAGCACTACTGCTAGACGAAGTATCTGAAAGTTATATTTGAAAATTTATATACTTTATAGATATTTGCAATTTCTAAATAATTTTGATTGTATTACTATGTTTAATAAATTTTATTATTGCAATTTTTTATTTGGGAACAATTTTAATAAGTACCTGCATTTTTAAAAATTATTACCTGAATTAGTAAGACCACAAAAACCACATGTTTTAGCGCAACTGTTACGAGCAAATTGAGGAAATTTTGTGCATATTCTTTTGTTACAAGATGTACCTATATCATAACAACCTAAAATAATAAAGGTTACAAAGCTCATAATTTATTTATCACTTTATCACTGAAGAAAATATAGTTTTTTTTTTGCATTTCTTTTATGATGCAAATTTCTAAGAAATAAATTTTAAAGATTAATTCTGGTAATAGTTTCAGTTATCTACACTTTCTATATTTTTTATCTTTATTATTATTTCTGCATTAAGAAAAAATAAATTATTAAAAGAAAAAAGAATTAAAAGTTTTTGGAAAACAGAAAAAAAAATACAGATATGGATACCATTGTTTGTTCCGGAAATTGCAATGACGAATGGTATGAAAAAGATGATTTGGAACATTTTGTTGCTAACTAAAGAAATGAATTGAAATAAAGTTTCATATTTTAAATACAAATAAATTAAGTCAATTGCAATTAAAGTTGCATTCATCAGAAAAGGCTTAAATGAAAGTGCAAAAAAAAAAAAAAAAAAAATAAAGGCAAGAAAATGAATTATTCAAGATAAGATGACCGAAAAATATTTGATGAACACTAGAATATTTAAATAATAATATTTAGTTTTTTTTTTTTGAATTAATAATGATTAGTGTGAATATATTAGGAGATAAGATTATTTAATAATAAAAATTTAGTCATAATTCATAATTTATTAATAAATTGCAATGAAGAGAAAAAAAGAAAAAAAAAAATGAAATGAATAAAGAAAGATAAGGAAGAAACAAAAAAAAAAAAATTGAAAACGAAATCTAAAAGTACGAAAAATAAATGGCGCATTTTGAGTAGGCAAATAAATGAGGCGCATTTGGTGGAAGAAAATAAATGAAATAGCAAGAAATACATTGCCTCTGTATATATCATCATGCTTTAAAATTATACAATAAATCAAATACATTATACAGCTGTTTCTCTGTTCAACAAATTCATTTATTTTGAAAAATTCACTGGAATTCCCTTTTTTTTTTTTTTTTGTTTTGTTTTTGTTTCTTTAAAATATTAGAGCAAAAGGAGTTGAAATAATTAATTAATGAAAATAAGAATTAAGAATTTTGAGTTAAGCTTAAAATTGAAGCATAAAAATAACAAAAAGAATTAAAAAGAAAATTTTTTTTTGAAGTTTATAGCATGCGATAATTTTAGATAAGCCCAATTTACTATTTTGTAATCACTTAGCAAAAAAGTTTTATTAATGTTTTACCTATTTTTTTTTTTTGTTTTGGTTTATCCAATTATATACTTTATTCCTTTGAAAAAAAATATGGCATAAAATAGTTTTAAAAAAGATGGAAGATTAAAATTAAAGAAAAAAAATTAAAATTTTCCTTAAAAAAAATTTTTTGGAATTAAAAAATTTTTTAAATCCAATTAGCTGTTGCAGACTCAATTTTCATATTTTTGATTCATTTAATTAAAATTAACATATTAAAGAGGAAAATGTAGCACAGATAGTTCATTGATGAAAAATTTTCCTTTATCGGTTGGCTGTTTTTCTTTTTTTTTTTTCTAAATTTTACTTTTATGAAATGGTATAAAAGGATGATAAGGCTATTGAATGAATTTATGAAAACAATTAAATTTTATTAAAATTAGAACTTCTATTCTAAGGAAATTTAATTAGTATTCATAAAATTATTTTCATCGATTATCAGTAACAAAAAAGACTAAAGTAATTCATTGCAATTGTCAGAGATATGATAAATTATCGTTGGAAATTATTGTCATTTTAGAATACAAAATGCAAAGTAAAGCTGAAATTGGAAGAAGCCATTCGAATTCTATTTCAAAAATTTTTGAAACCTCAGGTTTAACCCTATTAACATCAAATGAATTGCCGGAAAAACCGGAAGGTAGATGGTTGATTCGGTGTAATAGTTGCAATGAACCGGTTACACGCAAGCAAGCACTGATGGTATAGTTTAAAATAAAAGAAAAATCATGAAATTTTCAAAAGATGAATATCATATATTAAAATTTAAAATATATATATATATATATAGAAATTTTTAAAACAATTCATAAGCTGAAACTATAAATTTGCTAATTAACTTTTTTTTTTCAATTAATTTAAAAAACAAAGAAAGAAAAAACATAATAAATAAATTAAAAAGTAACAAAATAAAAAGAAATAAAAAGTAACAAACATTAGAGATTTTCTTAAAGAATCAAAAATCCTAAACTAAAATTTAAAATTAGAAATAGGAAAAGTGTACTTAGTAAATTACAAATTTATATAATATAGCAAAAAAAAAAATATTGTTCCGTTATTACTATTATTGTAATTGTTTAAAGAAAAAAAGGAAATTATCCATTGAAATGTTTATTTATCATTGTTAAAAAGAATCATTCAAAATAAAATTTTTTTTTAGTTAATTTTAATCAATAAAATTAATTCAAATCATGAAAATATTTATTTAAATTATTTAAGCGCAACGTAATTTATTCATTGAATAAAATATGGCATCGAGAACATTTCACATGCATTCACTGTAAATGCATCGTTGGTTTTGACGGTCGACCATTCCGGAAATATCGTTATAATAGCAATTATCCAATTTGTATGGATTGTTATATGGAAGAATTTCATCCAAAATGTTACGGTTATTTGTAAATAATTATTTTAATTATTTATTTTACAAATGTTTGGTTAAAATATATATTTTTTTTTTCATAAAAAAATTATTAGAAAAAAAAAAAAACGAAAAAGAATAGCGATCGATTAAAATATTCAATTTTTTTTTGAATCAAAATTAAGCAAATTATCAAGATTTTTGTTTTTTTCTTAAATTTAAAAATTTTTTAAAATTGTGATATTTTTCATAAAATTAATTTCACACAGCTTGCAATAAATCTTTACGCGAAACATGTGTAAAAGCATTAAAAAAATATTGGCATAGATGTTGTTTTGTATGTACCAAATGTCATTCACCTTTTGAAAGTAATTATATTATATCTAATTTATTTAAATTTGAATGTTTTTTCTTCTTTCTTTTTTCTTTTTTTTTTTTTTTTTTTTTAAATCATTTATTGATAATATAATTTTAATATTGTCAAAAATATTGATATATATTAAAAAAGTAAAGTTATTTATTTCACAAATATTTGGTAAAAATATATAAGAAGACGAAAAAGAAGAAAAGATATTTTATCATTCAATAGGCTTTCAGAATTTCCGTTTTCTTTTTTTTTGAATTTAATTTAAAAGTGCAAAAAAGTTTTTCTTTTCTTTTTTCTTTTTTCACAAGATGGTATATATCTTCTTTACAACGACAAACCATACGATGTTGACTGCTACTATCTGACAAGATATGAAAATCAATTCACAACATTGATTAGTAATCAAAGTAGTCCTATTACTGAACCTACTGGAACAAGTAATTCTTTTTCATTTTCATTTCAAATTTTTTAATATTAATTTTAGCATTATTTTGGAGCGTTTTATCAATATCATTTTTGTTTGCATATTTAATTCTTTTTTTTTTTTTTTTTTTGAAAGAAATTATTTTTTTAAAAATTGATGATTCATCACCATTTTCTTTCTTTTTTTCTTATAGCAAAAGGAATGAATTGAATTAAGATGAAATAATGAAAGAATTGTTTGACTAAAAAATCAATCAATGTAAATGAAAATGTATAACAGTGCAAAAAATTTGATTAAGAAATTTACATTTAAATTAAATTCTAGATCACAAAACAATTAATCAGATAACAGAAAAAACCGAGCAAAAATCACAAAATGTTAAAACCGAATTGCAATTTCCTTCAACAACACAAAATACTGAAATTAAAAATCACATAGCAACACCAACACCAACGTAAGATAATTAATTATATATTTCCTTCTTTTTTCTTTTTTCTCCTTCTTATTTTTCATGTTTATTTCAGAAAAGCAATTTCCGAATCTAAATCACATGAAACTGCCATAAGTGCATTACCGCCATCCGTTGGACATAATGCGCATGACAAAAAGCCAACGAAAAAAGCCGCTTCATAATCAAAATCAGCATCCCGAGAATTTATTATTTTGAAATATTATTTCAAAATTATAGGTAATAATAATAATAATAATAATACAGTTATAAGTTCATATTTTATTAATCAAAAAGAAAAATACATATATATATAGAATGTTAAATTAGGTGAGAGCATCTATCAGTTTAATAATTCTTTATCTGATGGTTGTTTGATTTGTAATTTAGAGAAAATTTATATGCACGGACAATTTAGTCCATAAAACAAATTTATTTAGCAGAAATGAAGCATGAAGAAAAATAATACGGTGACATAGTACCGGAATACTGATATAAAACCGGAATAAATACTGACATAATATTGGAATAAATAAATCAGTTTGAATCAATATAATACAATGCAATGAAAGAACTATGAAATTCGAGCATCATTAATAAATTTAAAAATTTTTCAGCATGTGTAATTTGACTACATAATATATGCATTAGCTACCATTCCATTCAATCTGATCAAGCATCATTCAGTGATAACGAGTGATAATTGATAACTAACATCTGGACAATTTACTCTTCCAAGAAATTAATAAAACATTGATGATATAATGTTACCTGCTGAAATTGCTGCAAAAAAAAAAAAAAAAAAAAAAAAAAACGAAAGCATAGATATGTTTAAAGAATTGAATGCATCAAAAAAAAAAAACTGTCGTTTACATTTGTAATTATAAAATACATAAATCAAAATGCACCCTGAATATCAATTACATAAATATTAGATGTGAAAGACAATATTATACAGAATTAAAATTTAAGTATTATTAATGGAATTAAACAATAAATTTCTTTTAAAACACAGCTTTCTTTTTTTTTTAAAAAAAAAAATCATTAATTCGAATTTTTTTTCTTAAATTTTAATATTAATTCAATGAAATCACAAAAAAAATCATAATTGTTATGAAATTAATTCGATAATTTTTAAAAAAAAAAAAAAAAAAAAAAAAAAACGAGAAAATTAAATTTTTAATTAACTTTATTAGCAAATCCATTCAAAATTTAATGAGAAAGAATATAATTAATTCATACTAAATACAATATGTTGAATTTTCAAATTCAAATGAACTTTATTAATAGGACTATTGGAAATAAAAATTCAAAAGAATGAATTTGATTCGTTCGAAATTTGAAATTGAACACTTAGCAAAAGAAAATTATTAATTTCTTATTTTTTTTTTTTATTTTCTGAAAAAAAAAATGATTGGAATTTTCTGACGAAGAAAAATATAGACAGAATAAAAGAAGTTGAATGGAATTGAATTACTTTTAGTTACTGTAATAAATATATATTCCATTTTTCAAGTGACAAGTTTATTTAAAAAAAAAGACAAGAAACATACAGATTTCAACTTTCAATTTATTTTGATGCAAAAATAATTAATAATGTTGATGAAATATTGTTGAAATAATTTATCAAATTGTGATGCATGGCTGAACGAACCACCTTATTAACGATCTAAAATTAAATTTATTTATGTTGCAGATCTGTTAATTGGTAAATAATTAAACTATAACTAAAAGTTAAATTTCAAATTATTTATTACCTGTCAAAATAATTTATCTCAAAAATACTATGCAGCATTTTTCAAATGCAAAAATATGAAATAATAAAAATTAGTTGGAATTTTGAATATTTTCTCTTTTACTTATAATAAATAAATGCATTTCAGAAAAACTGTTTTTGTTTTCCATCTTAAATTGATAATAACCAAAAATCGTTTACTCTTAAACTTTCCCATTTTTCTTAAATCAAATAAAGAAAAGAAAAGAAGGAAATAATTACAAATAATTATTAAACAAATAATAAAATAATAATTATTGACATAGAATTAAATTAAATTACCACATTTTTGAAGGACATCCTGAAATTTGTACATTCGCAAATCAATTGGTTGTTTTACCCAACAGTGATTACTAACATCACGTATGGTAGCCCGAAACTGTGGATCACGTTGTAATAGCCAAGCAATTACTTGGAACAAACCTCAATAAATTCTTTTTTTGAAAAAAAAAAATCTAATACTTCGTGGTTGAAATTAGGTACTAAATTTAAGTACAATTATATTATTACATGTTATCATGAATGATGAGTTAAAAAATTAGATTTTTCCCATGCATATTTTTGAATATATTTTTCCGGAATACTAACACGTATAAAGCGTATAACACGTTTTTGCATCAATATTTACCTTCTGAGACTTCCCATGGAAGTTTAATTTCAGCACGAATAGTTTCTTGCAAACTACGAAAAGGATTTTCAAAAAATACAAGTGTATACAATAGGATTCCTAAAGACCACATCTCTAATTCAGGACCACGATATCTAAAATAATAAGATTAATTAATTATTATGATTAATTATAATAATTTTAGTAGTGAATAAAAATACAAAAAATATCAACAATGATTTTATTAGTGAACAAAAAAAAAAAAAATAAGATAAATATTTCTTTTTTATAATTTTTTATTAAACAATTCTGAAAAGCTTAAAATTTATAAAATAAATACAACAAATTTACTTATTTCCACGCAAAACTTCCGGACTACAATATTCCATTGTTCCACAAAATGTTGAAAAAACAAAATTATGACCAAAATATGCAGCTGATCCAAAATCAATCAATTTGCATGAAAAATTTTGATCAATGATAACATTTTCATCTTTTAAATCACGATGTACAATATTTTTTGAATGAAGATAAGCTACTGCATTGACTACCTGAAATAAATATTTCTTTTTTGCATTCCTTTTTTTTTTCATCTTTCCTTTTTGTTGCTTTCATTTCATTGAATAAAAGGAAATTTTGAATTAAAAAGTCAAAGCCATTAAAAAAATTTCCTTCTATTCCAATACAATGATAATTTGCAAAAAATTAATCTAAAAACAAAAATTTTTTACAATATTATTTATTAATATGTTGAGAAAAAAGAGGATTAAGACAATGATAAGATTCAAATCAATTGATAGAAAAAAACTGAGGAAATGAAGTGAAATTTCTAAAACTGCTAATTAATTAATTGATAAAAATAGTGATAATATATAATAATAATACCTGTCTAAAAATATAACTTATAAGTGGTTCATCTAATTTTGGTTGTTGTTCAATAAATTCAAATAGATCCATTCCACAGCCAAGTTTTTCCATCACTAATTGATAGTATAAATCATTTTCAAAAACATCCAATAACTGCAAATGTATGCAACAAGTAATAATTATAGTTGTGAAAAAAAAAAAAAAAAATATAAAAAAAAAATAAAAAATTTAAAAAAAAAAAAAAAAAAAAAAAAAACGAAACCTTTACGATATTTGGATGAGATAATGTTTCGAGAAGATGAAGCTCTATTGGTACCACACGATTACCACGTTTAGGACTTGGTATCCAACTTTCCGAAAAAACTTTTGATTTGCAAATAAATTTTGCTACTGCCTAAAATTTTATACGAAAAATTAAAGAAAAACAATTCATATTTCTTAAATTTATATTAAAATGTTTAAAAAAAGAATAACTTTTAGTCAATAATATTAAATTATCAATTTTGATAAATAAACAAATTAATAAATTGAACGGAAAAAAAAAAAAAAAAAAAAGAAGCGTACTCACTGACCAAAATACCCGTATCTTTTCGAGCTGTTAATTTTACTGAGCCAAAAGCGCCATTACCAATGAGATATTGTGTATCATAATATTTCGAATATTCGCCAGCTATTGCTTGCGCATTTTCATCATCTTTTTCAACCTGAAATGATAAATGGATGGAAATTTTGTGCAAATAAATGCACGAAGAAATAAAATGAATAAAGAAAAATGACCAAAGAGTTTTTTCTCAAAAAAAAAGAAACAGTAATAAATAAGAAAAAATAACATTTGATTATATACTAAAATGGAATAATAATTAATTATATTTAAATGAGTTAAAAATTTTTTGCTTATAAAACAAAATAAAAAACTAACTGTAATCATCGAATTTTTCTCAATTTTAAAGTCAACTCGATAGTTATCATTATTATCATTGCATGCGCGAATATTTTCATTATCACAAATACTTTCACTCATCAATCTTTCCTCATTCATTTGGCCAAAAAAGCCAAAATCAATTGTCTTATTGTAATTGATACAAACTGCCCAACTTGCGCCACTATTTGGCTCCAAACGTTTTATATTGAAACATATTGCTATAAATTCAAATGTAAGTTGACATTTTTTAATAATATAATTTAATAAAAAACTTTCTAAAAAAAAAAAATGTCCTCTACTATATGTTTTCATCTTTTATTTATCAATTGATTTTATAGCTCTTTTCAAAATTTCTAATTATTTATTGGTAATCAACAAGAGTAATTCTTGGTGATCAATTGATAATAATTATATTCAGCTATTTACTTGCAGTTAATCAGTAGTAATTCTTGCTAATTAGTTAATTATATATTGAAAAGCTTCTCATCTTTGTGATCGTTAAAATTTTAATTGAAAAAAAAAAAAAAAAAAAAAAAAAGAAAATAAAACTTACCAATCAAATTGCTATCAGAATGTTTTGCAAATCCATAAAATGAACCTTCTATAATTGGTTCACTCTGATTTCTCCTATCAGTTATCATCAATTCATTCCATTGTTGAAGATTATCACAGAGTTGAACATTTTCAATAAATTGTGAGCTAAAAGTATAACTCATCGATTATTTCAAAATTTCACATAAAATAATTTATAGCTTGAATTAAATTGCATATTTGAATGAATGACCTTGTTGAAGGTATTGATGAGCACATTTCATCAATCGATGAAATTGATGGTTGTGATGAACTGATATTAACAACACTTTCAATTCCATTCAATTTATGCATTGATAAGGCTAAATCATTTATCAGCCATGTAACTGATCGATGCTTATGAGAGGAAATTGAGTCTGTAACAAATAACAACATTAATTAGTAATTTAATTTGTTTTTTTTTTTTTTTTTTTTCGTTTAATAATCTTTTAATCTATAATATTTTAACATTTTTAAAACTTTATCAATAATATTTCAACAATTATTTAATTGAAATAACACACACACACACAAAAAAAAAAAACGCATACATATGACCTTTTTTATTTGTGAAATGATCGAAAAATTCATCAGACAATTTCACCACCACTTCATTGCATGTTCCATTTAATGGTGAAGTTAAAATATGATAGTGAAATTTTGGAATTATATCAGTGATATGCTAAAAATAAACAAACAAAAATTAAAAAAAAAAAAAAAAAAAGCAAAAAGTTTTCTTCACATGAATAACAACTCAGTAAATAATTATAGTATTTTTACTAGAATTATATTTAACTGGAAATTTTAAAATATTGCTAAATTTTAACGCCTTTCACTTGAAATTACACATTATTTATTTCTAAAATTTTTTTTTCTTTTCTTGAAATTATTGAAACTTTCCTAAAATGAAATAATAATAATTAAAACATACAGTCATATCTTTTAGCGCCTCTTTTTGCTTTTTACCAATTAATGCTTCAATGAAATTTTCATTGAAACTATGTAAAGCGCCCGATTCTGTTAAAATAACAACGCCAGTAACAGTGGAAAATGCTTGAATTTCTAATTCATACATAAGTGGCCGTTGTGCTAAAAAAAAAAAGAAAAAAAAAATTTTTTAAAATTAACGATTAATTAATTAGTCTAATTGAGAAAAAAAGAAAAGGAAAATAATTACAAATTGCTAATATACCATTGAAAGATTTCAATTTTTTTTTTCCTGTCATTTATATTTTGCAAAAACATTAAACAAAACGAATTTCAAATAAATTTTAGTATTTATTGGAATATTGACTCTTTTCTTGCATATTTTTTGACATTTTCAGTTAATACTGGAAATTTTTCATGCACTTCAGTTAGCATTTTATGTGAGAATGAAATTTTTAATGTACAAAGATTTAATTATTTGAAAAAAAAATTCAACATTATCACTATTAACTGTAATTGCATGAATTCATAGAATTATGCTAAAGTTTTCAGGAAAAAAGAAATTTGTTTTGAAAAGACCTTTACTTATTTTTCAAGATTAAAGATTATGAAAGTATGGAAGTTAATTTAAATTGCACCGAAAAAAAGCACACAATTTGGAATGAGTAAAAAAAAAAAAACTTCAATTTGCTACTACGAATGCAAAATTTATTAATTTTAGTTTCATTTTCTACAGAGATTGGCAGTAACTGAATTGATCTACGGCTTAAAATGATGATTTTTCCTGCTGTTTTCTTTTTTTTTTTCTAAATTATTTACAAAAAAAGGAATTAGATGAAAAAATAAATAAATAAATAAAAAACTTATAAAATTAGACTTCACTGTAACTTCAGCAAAAGCAATTCAAATAGAAGCTTGAATTGAATAATTATTTAAATTAAAATAAACAATAATTACTATCTTTTGCTCACAATCACTTTCATATAATCAATTAATATTTAAAATTCTTAAATGAATTCTATTGTACAAAGCGAAGTAGTAATTTTGCAAACAAATTTAGGATTTTTCACACCGATTTGCTTGTATAACTGCTCGTTTTTCTCTTAAATTTCTTTGAATTTCTAAATTAAATTATAATTCTAAAAAAAAAAAAAAAAAAAAAAAAAAAAAACTAGTTCATTTCAATTTATATAAATGCAACAAATAATATAAAATATCAAAATTATAACACAAATTAAAATGAAAAATGTGTTACTCTTACTTTCTGAATCTTTTTCCGTATTAACTTTCACAGTAACTGGTATTGAATTACCACGAATACATTGAGCACAAACATGTTGCACTTCACTATTTGTTTCAAGCTATAATTAAATCATTTATAATCAACAATAATTACAAAATAATTAAATTTCAAAAAAAAAAAATAAATAATAAACAAAATTAATATGACTGATGAAAGAAATATATACTTACTTGTATGGCAGGAATAAGTTTTGATATTTCAATGCCTAAAAGTTCACGCATTGAAATGTATCCAAGTAACAATGCCATACCATCATCAGCTCGAAAAATACGTCCCTAAAAATGAAATCAATAAAACATAACAACAATGATAATAGAAGTGATAGTGATAATGATGTGATTAAAATTAGAAAATACTTTCATTTATTTAAAAATCTTAAAAAAGAAGAAACTGCTTATTTGTTTTTCTCTTGTTTCGATTTGTCACGCATAGTTTTTGAAATAGTATAAAAGGGTAAACATATGAATATTTAAACGTTTTAAACGTTTATTACGTTCAATATTACGTATCCTACAAAATACCTAAAAAAAAATAGAAAGTTTAATCAATGAAATAGAGTATTAGTAACTGAAAATATGATGAAATGTATGAAATGCTGCATATTTGCAAACATAACATTGTATAATATGTTTTGCTCTATCATTGAAAACTTCACTTATAATTAATTTATCGATATCCTACAATATTTTATCAATCATATGCATAAAAGTTAATAAAAATTATTAAATTATGTTTCATTAAAATAAAAAGTATTAGATCTAGTAAATTTAATTGAAAAAAAAAATAATACTTTTGCATCAACTGTACAAGCTACTGATAAGATAGTTGATGGTTCCGCTAAAACAACCAAATATTTATCATCAATTTTCGTTTCCATCTTCACATTTAATTCAATATTTCCTTGATTATTTTCAATTTCATTTTCATCGCTGCTTTCATTTGTTTCTGATTTTTCATCTAAAAAAAAGAACAGACACATGTAAAACTATAGCGTTTTGAATTCATTATTCACTGGAAATTTAAAAAATGCATTTAACTGAGCTATCATGTTATTTCGATGGATAATTAAATGCTTAGCATCGTTAAGTTGAAATTAACGATAAATTGTAAAAATTTAATTTCTGTTAATTATTATAGTTGAAGAATACATCCGTCTAATTTAAATGTTCCTTTTTTTTTTTTTTTTTTTAATTCTCAATTTTCGTTTGCTACAATTTCAATTTATATTTCGGATAATTTTTATCTTTCATCAAATTCTTCTTCAATTTTAATTTTATAATTTAGTTTTTGCAGAAAAAAAAATTTTTCATCAGTAAAATAAACACAGCATATCTTACTGCAAATCGTCATGAAATTGAAGTTTAAATTGTTAAATCCAACTAAAAAATACGTAATACAAAAAAAAAAAAAGAATCATACATAACAAATTAAAAATGAAATCTGACGACGATAACCGATAATTTAAATCTAGAATAATCCAATATCATTTCTTCAAAAAAAGAAAAGAAAAGCATAACGGTTTTACTTCACTTTAATATTTCCCTTTATTGTTTACTTTATTTTTATCAGTTTACGATCAAAATTATAAAAGGGAAAAATAAAAAGAAAAAATAAAAAACTTTAATAAAGATGGATCAACGACTAAAAACAAACATTTTTTAAGATTCTCTGTGGAACATCGTTTACCATCAACGAATGCTTTTAGACGAGTTGAAATACCTTCTACCATTTTATTCGATTTATTTGTTCTTCTAAAAAATTTCCTAGCCACAAATTCTGTAATTATTTTAAAGTTAAATGGTATGAAAAAAAAGTAAACATATTCTGCAAATATAATCATAACGATATCATATCATATCATATCAAGTGCTATATTTTATAAACAAATAAGTGTTGATAATAAAAGAGTAGAATTAGAACGATTAATTATAAAATTGGAATTATTATTATTATTATTGTTATTTAGTTAAAACTCAGAAAAGCTTAAAACTTGAGAAACTTTGTCAAAAAAATTTTTTTACTTAAAAAAATTAAATTTATTCAATAAGGACAAACCGAAATTTAGTGCTGAATGCTGATACTTCTTTCAAGTTAATTAATACCAATTATTTTGTCTGTTTCTGCTTCTCAACCACTTAAAATAATAGCAAAAGTTTAAATGTATCAAACGATTCTTCGATTAATTGTTGGATGAGTGAGAAATGACCACTGGACGTGATGGTCACTGCAGAATATTGCACTTAGTTGTCAAATAAGTAGTTGACAAATTATTTGATATGAATCGCTGTATTATCGTTATAAAGCTATTCATTCTAGTTTTATCACATTAAATAGCAAACTTTTAACCAAGGAAAAAAAAAAATGAAAAAAGTTATATTTCGAAGTGTTGCTATTAATTTCAAATTTTTTCCACAAATTTTACTGTTGTTAACATCAACTAGCAACAAAGTTTGTTTAAAATTTAAAAAACAACATTAAAAAAAAGATATGTAAAGAAGGAACTCAAAAATTTTTCAAAAATTTTTCAAAAATTTCAAAAAATTTTTCAAAAATTTTTTCTTTTAATTAGCATTTCATTTCAATTCAAGTAAATACAGCAAATGATATAGAAATAAAATTATACTAATTTTATTTGAGTAGCAATTGAAGAGTGAAAATTTTCAAAATAAAGACTAAAACATTTTAACTATTATCAAGTATTATTTATCATAAAGAACTAATGAGTGCACTTATCAGTCTCAAACTACAGAATAACAAAATTCTTTGAATAATATCAGGAATTTTCATAATAATAGCAATGATAATAAAAAATGATGGTGATAAAAATAATAATGATAATAATAATATTGCAAATTGTTATTGTCACAAATGAGAATACTTTCATTTAAATATTCATTTCACTTATTACTTACAATCTCATTTTCTTCTCTTATTGCTTTTCCGTGATTTTCACGTTGTGCAATGGACTATTTTAGGATATACGTATAAGTGATATAACAGCGAGACGTAATAACAGAAATAAATTAAGTAACATTCTCCCACACTGATAGTAAAATTAAATTGAATTATATTAGCGTTGACCATAAAGAGATAATAGCCGTTTCTTCTCTTCCAAATAAACGTCACTTTCTGGCTATTTGATTATTACACTGATAATTACAATGCTTATCATTAGTGATAGCAACAACTCTCTTATATGCGTTTATCAATTTCTTCCACTTATCGTTGTATATTTGTAAAATGTTTAGAGAGACAGAGAAAGGGGAAGAAAGAGAGAATAAAATTTTTGAGACGAGGACTTTTCTTGGATTTTCAGAAAATGTCTAGAAAATATACGATTGAATTTAATTAGAATCGCATCTTTCAGTGATAACTATAAGCAAACGAATTACAAAAGAACACGTAACGCCTGACCTTTAACCTTGCGCTTAAATTGATGAAATTAAAATAAAATTTATCAAAGGATACAATTAAATATATTCACTTTTCCAAAAGAAAATACTATAATTGACATTTTCCTGTACAACGATACATTTGAAGAAGGAAAATGTTTGTTATTATCACGGCTCAGTCTCATTATTTAAAATAAGTAAGAAAGAAAGAGAGAGAGAGAGGGGAGAGAGGGAAAGAGAGGGAGAGAGGGAGGGAGATAGAAGAAAAGAAAGAATGAGACAACATAGTAATATTATGAGAGGGTTTTAATAAAATCTCTGACAAAATTAATTGAGCATAATATTGGCAAATTTGAATATACGAAGTTGTTGTTGATATATTATATTCAAATCGTATATATATGACATAAATGCGATACACGTGAAAACGTTACGTAATATGCGTGTGGTAAACTAATCATTAATACTAACTGTGAATCTTTTTTTAAATATGAATGTTTATATTTTTTGAAATTTTCGTTAAAAAGCAAAGTGGTAAGGAAAAAGAAGAAATGTGCAGCTGTTCCGTGTTAACACATACATATATCAGTATTGTCAACAACAAAAAAGAAAAACTAAAATTAGGAACAACATTTGTCATCAACAATTTATAATATCTATCTATAACTTTCATAATTATATTCCATTATCAAAAAGTAGTTCAAATGATAGGTAAAATAAATAAGTTATGCCCAGATAACTAGTTGCTAATTTGTGACTGTCATTTTCACTTATTATACGTAATTAAATATTGATTATTTGTAATTTAATATAATGTAGCAGTGTTATAAGTTTTTATTTCATTTTAATCTAGGTTATAGATAGATTACTATTAATAGATTAAATTATCATATATATGAAACTTAAATATGAGCATTTGAAATAGTCAAATAAGACATGAAAATGTTGATAAAATTTCCATGTGAATTTATCACATTGAACATTTTAATTCATAAACTTGCATTAGAATTTATAAAAGTTGTTTACACCACAAATTTAAATTCAAGTCCATTATTGATGAGAAATTAAAAGGAACTGCTGAACAATACAGTGCTTCTTTTCTATTTTCTTTTTTTTTTTTTTTCAAAACAAGTAAACATATACATGTTTATAAACTGACCGGTTTTTTCTTTTTTTTTTTTTATCTGTATATTACTGATTCTAAGGTGAAGAAAGTAAACAACTGATAGGATAAACCAGCTTACTGATACAATTCATAACCATAAACATTTCTTAGACTCATTCTAATCTCCGTATACTTAACAACATTCAATTTAATTATCAATTGAAGGAAAAAAAGTGTTTTCTGCTTTTTTCTTCCGTTTTTTTTTTTTTGCGCCTTGCGCTCAAAGTACATTCAAAGTGCATTGACTAACATATTTGGAATTTTTATGTGTAATACAAAATTTTCTAGTTTTTTTAGAATTGCTACATTATAACAGTATTCAGGTAACATTTTCAGGAATTAAATACCATGAAAATGTATATTTTGACAATTTTTAGCAAAGTTAAATTTGTAAATTGCCTGTATGACATTGCAGTAGCATGCGCATATCAGATCAATCGTGCACAATGCACATATCGCATTTCTGATGTAGCAGTTATTACGCAAACAATGAAATTACTACATAATAAGTTAACAAATGTAGGAATTCGTTTGAGTGATAAAAAATTTTACAAACTTCTTTACAAGAAAAAAGCAAAAAGAGTGATGGAGTGAGTTACTTTGCAAATTGTTTGCTTTAATATTTTTTTTATTCCTCCATCACTTATTGTCAGCAATTATTATGAGAAATAAGTGATAAATATCAGCTACAATATCAGTGAAAGTGTTTTAATGATCTAATACGTATGATTTCCTGTAGACTGAAAACTTGATCCAGTTCCGCCTGCGGTTATATCATTGATAGAAAAAATCCTTCACTAAAAATAAATATTCAGAACGAAGAATTTATGAAATAACGTATTTTCAACAATGACAACAAATTTCAATCTACTGCTGTTGTTGCTATTATTGAAATCAAATTTTGGTATCAAAAAAAAAAAAAAAAGAAAAAATGGGGACATTCGTAATTTTAAACAACTCAACATTTGTGACATGGAAGTTTCTGAAATGTCAGTATTTAAAAAAAAAAAAAAAAAATATTTTCTTTGAAACTTTTAGGGAAATCAAGATTAAATGCTTAATAAAGAATTGCAACATCAATAATTTCTTGTAAAATGATTTAAGATCAATTGATAAAAAGTGATAAGTTAGATGAATACATGGTTAAATAAGAAAGAATAGTATTGTTGAATACGTTTAGCATTAAATTTTAATCGTAAATTCATTCCAATTTCTTTATATAAAAATAAATTACTTATTACAATATAAAGTCAGTTACTTATAACAATATGAAATCAGTTATTTATTACAATAGAAAATTTATGCGGCTATTGTTGAAAATTTTGTAATAATTTGACAGAAATATGAAATCTCGCTAATACAAAACGAAAGTTTACATAGTGTTCATAGCTGATATTACGGAATGTACACGTGAATTTCAAATATTGCTATTGACGTAAATATGTAATGAATTGACTAACTACCGATGATTAACAATAGGAAGTACACGTGAATTTCAGATATTGCTATTGACGTAAGTGTAGAAATGAAATGAATAGTAATTAAAATTGGGAATGAATGATGAATAGAGATTGGAAAAAAGCAGCTGTTCAGATGTACACAATGCGCATTTGTCCTCCTACCTTATGCGTTCTTGGTAGCGATATCCACCATTTCAAGTTCTCATCGCGCTTGTCCAGAATTGATGGATATGTGGCTAACTGTTGTGGAGATCATTATGGATTGATCATCTTATCATTATTGATAAGTCACTCCACTACATTTAGGATATGCAAATACTATGTATGACCTTTTGCAATGTCAAACATAAATATATGATATCAGTATTAATTAGTAATTTTACTTCTAAATATAATATTTTCAAAAAATTGTATTCCAAAAAAAAAAAATTTCGCTTTATAAATACCTTTTTAAAGTGAAAAATTCCGCTTTTGAAAAAAGAAAAAAGTTACACCCTTAAATAAAAGGGAAGTGAAAATTCTAGTAAAAGGTAAAAGAATGTATCAGATGTGTTTATTAGGAAAAAGGAAGTAACTGGTTTACTCATTAGAGACATAATTAGCTGTGACAGTTTAATCTATCTAACATCCTTCCTTTCAAATTAACATTTTAAGAAACTGTACTGCATTAAAACCATTCTTCTATCTTTACTAATTCATACATTCCATAAAA